TCCTCGATATTGACGGCTGCTTTATCCTTGTGCACCGCCCTGACGATGACGTCAGCGACACATGTCGCCATCTGAGTGGACGCCGGGTTGTGCTGCCTGAACTGCTGGTAGCGGGCCGGCTTGTTCTGAGACAATGGGGGAGGGAAGGAGGGGGAGAGGAAGAAGAGGGGGTGGACGGTGGGTAAGGGCCAGTGTAAGGAATACGAGAGGGCATTTGAGTGGACGCCGGGTTGTGCTGCCTGAACTGTTGGTAGCGGGCGGGCTTGTTCTGAGGGAGGGAGTTGGGGGGGTTGGGGGGCGACAGGGGGAGTGTGGGGAGGAGGGTTGGAAGCGGAGGTGGGAAGGGAGATGGATGTGGGGAGGAAGACAACTGGTTGTGCTGCCTGAACTGCTGGTAGCGGGCGGGCTTGTTCTGAGGGAGGGAGTTGGGGGGGTTGGGGGGCGACAGGGGGAGTGTGGGGAGGAGGGTTGGAAGCGGAGGTGGGAAGGGAGATGGATTTGGGGAGGAAGACAACTGGTTGTGCTGCCTGAACTGCTGGTAGCGGGCGGGCTTGTTCTGAGGGAATAAGGGGAGAGGGGTGGAGGGGGGTGGGGAGGAGGGTTGGGAGAGGAGGTGGGAAGGGGAGGTGGGACAGGGAGGAAGGCTTTGGTTGTGCTGCCTGAACTGCTGGTAGAGGGCGGGCTTGTTCTGAGTGAGGGAGAGAATGGGGGGGAAGGAGGGCCAAGGGGGAGTAGGGATGGGAAGGGGAGGTGAGAAAAGAGGTTGATGTGGGAAGCGGTGACCTTGTTGTGCTGCCTAAGCTGCTGGTAGCGGGCAGGCTTGTTCTGAGGAAGGGAGGAAGGGAGGAAGGGAGGAAGGGGAGAGGCGTTGAAGGGAGGAAGAGGAAAGGAGATGGTGGGGAACCGGGGTGCGTGTGGGGCAGAAGACACCTGGTTGTGCTGCCTGAACTGCTGATAGCGGGCAGGCTTGTTCTGAGAGAACGGGGGGGAGAGGGGAGGGAGGGGGGAGGGTTGGGAGAGGAGGTGGGAAAGGAGATGGATGTTGGGAGAAAGGCAACTGGTTGTGCTGCCTGAACTGCTGGTAGCGGGCAGGCTTGTTCTGAGGGAGGGAGGAAGAGAGGGGGAGGAGGGGGAGAGGAAGAGAGGGGGAGGAGGGAGAGGAATAGAATAGGAAGAGAAGGAAACAGAGAAAGAGATGTGAGGAGAGGGGTAAGACACCTGGTTGCGCTGCCTGAACTGCTGGTAGCGGGCAGGCTTGTTCTGAGGGAGGGAGAGAATGGGGGGGAAGGAGGGCCAAGGGGGAGCAGGGTTGGGAAGGGGAGGTGGGGAAGGGAATGTGGGGAAGGGGAGGTGGGACAGGGAGGAGGACACCTGGTTGTGCTGCATGAACTGCTGGTAGCGGGCAGGCTTGTTCTGAATGAGGGAGGAAGAGATAGGGAGGAGGGAGAGAGGAAGTGATAGGAAGAGAAGGAAACGGAAAAAAAAAAAAATATGAGGAGAGGGGTAAGACATCTGGTTGTGTTGCCTGAACTGTTGGTGGGCTTGTTCTGAGAAAATGGGGGAGGGATGGAAGGCGGAGGAAGGGAAGGAAGGGGTGGAAGGGAGGAGCGTTGAAGCAGGGAAAAGGAAGGAGAGAAAGCCCCTTGTTCTGTTGGCGGGGGCGGGCTCATTCTGAGAGTGGGAAATGCGCGTACCTGCGTCTTGGGGGAGAAGATTCCGACCGCCCCGCCCTTCTTGTCCAGCCTCCGCGCGTGGGGAAAGGAGGGGGAGAGCATGAGAAAGGTTGAGGAGAGGGTAAGACGGCCTGAAGAGAGAGGGCGGGCGCGTTGCTCTGAGAGGGGGGAATGCGCTAACCTGCGTCTTGGGGGAGAAGAATCCGACCGCCCCGCCCTTCTTGTCCAGCCTCCGCGCGTGCGCCGCGGTGAGCATGGCGACGAGCGCGCGCTTCTCCATCGTCTTGCGCGCAATTACCGTTGATACCTGCGTTTACCGCTGCTGCTGTTACCGATGCTGATACCTGCTGTTGCCGTTACTGCGTGCACCTGTTGTTACTGCTAGTGCGCGCACCTGTGTTCTGGGAGAGAATATCCCGACCGCCCCGCCCTTCTTGTCCAGCCTCCGCGCGTGCGCCGCGGTCAGCATGGCGACGAGCGCGCGCTTCTCCATCGTCTTGCGCGCAATCACCGCGTCGGGCCCTCGCGTCATGCGCGCAACGCCCTTCACTCCGCCGTATGACTGCGCGCGCGGGAGACGAGCGGGGTTTGGGGGGAAAGGGAAGGGTGGGGATGCGGGGAGACAGATAGCGGGGGAATTGGGCTTGCGAAGGGTGAGGGGTTGGCGGAACAGACATGCAAGAGTCATTGCATGGTTCGGTCGTACGTTTCATGTTTCTACCCATTACAGTTTCGGGCCTAGCCAAATTGACCGTTCGATCTCGAGGTGTGTTCACAAAACTTACCTCCGTGCTACACGTTTGCTCACCATGGCGACAGGAGCGCCAATCGCGCTCATGCGACTGGCGAATATCGCAGAGCCCGGGATGACGACGTTTGCGACCCACACCGCCGTCGTCGTGAGCTGTTGTGCGACAAACAGAGTGGCGGAAAAGGGGAATTAGGTGGGGAAGGGTGGAGAGAGAGAGGGCGGGAGGGGTGAGGGGAAGAGCCGGGATGACGACGTCAGCCACCCACACCGCCGTCGTCGTGAGCTGTTGTGCGACAACGCGAGGGACAAGAGGAGGGGGAAGGTAGGAGGAACGGGAGGAGGAGAGGTGGGCGGGGAGAGGGGAGTATGGGTATGGATACAGGTGGGTGTGAATGGGAGTGGATGGATATGGATGGATACGGATAGATACGGATGGGTACGGATGGGTACGGATGGGTACGGAGGGGCGGGTCTCTACGTACCTGATTGTAGACGTTCTTCGCGCACTCCTCCGTGCTCGGTGCGCAGCCCATCCCGCAATTCGTCCATTTCCCGCCGTACGCGCTACAGTCGTGCACGCATAGCGAACCCGCCGGCCGATATCCCGCCTTACACTTGGGCATGCAATTTCCCATAACATTTTGCTGCCGCATCGGGCATTTTAATAAGCCCTTCTTGCCTCGGGATTTCCGCGTGTACGTGTCGCGCCAGCAGAAGTTAAATATCGACGACGTGTTTACAACCTCTAGATTCTCGCGCCGAAGCACGGCATACGCGGCGGAAAGGCTGCTTATATCGCGGATGGCACCGTCGGCTGAGACGGGTAGAGTGGAATGGTTGGTAGATTCGATAGATTCTGGGCTCACATAAACAGATATGCAGCTCGAGAAGCAGCTAAATGTTATCAAAGTTGCAACAAAGAAAGATTGAAATAGCGATTTGCGTCTCGCGGCAACAGTGCCACCTATTCGCTTTTGAATCGACTCAGAAGCGGATCCACCTATTCGCGGCATGGTCGAGACGTATTGAAGAATTGCTAGGTGCAGATTAGAACCCGTGCAGACAGCAACGAGATGAGGTATAGCTAAAGGCGGCACCAGCGAAGTAAATTGTTCTTAGTAGACGGCCTGGCTAACGAAATTACTAGTATATACAGTTGATGCTGCGTCTCTGCTGCTGAGACATCACTGCCCCTGCTGCTGCTTGTCTAGTTGCCACCGACCAACGATTTGCACCGTCAGAGACTCGACGGGCTCTCTATCGCGTGTTCTCTTAATCTCGTTATTTTCCACGGTGCGGTACTCAAGCTCGTGCGCGGCGCTTTAAACGACGGCGCTGAAAAACGAAAGACCGTTCTACTAGAACAGGTTGGTTTGTAACCACGGCCCTGGTTCAGAGCCGGTGCGACTTGAGGAAGGTAAATCACTAGAAAGACACTGCTCTTGTGGAGCGAGCGCTGTGTATCGACAGGAAAATGTCTGCGCGAATGGGGCTCAGGGAAGGGCCTGCGTACTGCGTCTCTGATCTGAGGGTACGGTACGGACGGAACGGGCGGACCGTCCAGTACCCGCCGCCCGTCAGTGGGCTCGACGGAGCTTTGCTTTGCTTGCGCGATGTGTCAGTGATCACGAGAACAGAGGAAGCTTTAATGCGTCGTCACTCGCGAGTCGTGAGTCGTGACGCGCATCGTCTGAACTGATGCACGAGGCATAACGTGGTCAGTATAACTTTCCTCAACATGCCTGATTTTATGAGGTGGCGTTGGATGAGGCAGGCACACAGTGAGAAAATGAAATTTGCGACACAAGCATTTCGCACCCTTTCCGCTCCCATGAATCATGTATGCTATTCACCGCGCCAGTCAGTCCCAAAACATGCATTCCAGAATGATTTCGACGTGCAAATTCGAGACGAACAACAAATGCGTCTCGGGAAAGCGACGCGGGGTGTGTGTTGCATGGTTACCATCGGAATAGATTGGTTTCGGAAACGATGTTTTGGCCAGCGCTATACCAAGGAAGCACTAGGACGTGTATCGCGTTAGTTACTAACGACGCCGTTTTTCCTTATCTGCGAGATGCACAGCTTCTGGAAGTACGAACGAGCTTCGTGCCCAGCTGGCAAAATTGACTGCCATGCTGGACTTACAGGGGCTCTTCTTTCGCCAGCAATGACTGAATTCCTGCAATACTGGAGCCCACCTCCAGGATCTCCGGCAATAAGCACATCGTCACCCAATAAAAGGCACCCCAACGCCCATGACGAAGCTTGTAACACGTCATAGTACCTGATTCTAGTAGATTGCGATCAGATGTATGCCCTACGAAATTCCCGAAATCTTGACATGTAGCATCGTCGCACGAGCGTACAGCCTAGGGATCTTCCCACACAATTCAGGCTCGAGCAGTTCTCCCAAAGTGCTCATCCTCCGGACTCCAGTCCTGTCATCGGGCAGTCATTTTTCGTTCAGCCATTCCCCAGATTCCCTTCCCTTCTCTTGTGGTCTTTCCTGCTTGGGAGCCTTCAGCTTTCCGAAAAAGTACTCCTAATCGCCTTCTTGCACGCTCAATACCACAATGGCTAAGAAGAGCGTTAGCTCGTTGACGGAGGCTGATCTCAGGGGAAAGAGGGTGCTTCTCAGGGCTGATTTGAACGTTCCTCAAGACAAACGTACTTATGAAATCACTGACGACACGCGCATTCGCGCTGCCATTCCCACCATTAAGTACCTGACAGAGAAGGGTGCTAAGGTTCTTCTCGCGACCCACTTGGTGAGTCTTCGGAAACCATGTGTAAAATGCCATTTTTAAGCCATCTTGAAGCGAGCACGTTTCTGCAGTGGTGCTGGTTGTTCACTTAATCGTAGCCAGCATTTTCCAGCACGCCTTTTTCCTTACGGCAGTTTTTCTGGCGGTGGAGTCATATTGTCACTCTTGGATCGTTCGTCCTCTTCTGTCGTCTGATTCTCTTCCGTCCTCTCATTCTCGTGCTTTTCCAGGGACGTCCCAAGGGCGTCACCGAGAAGTTCCGCGTGACTCCTCTCGTTTCTCGGCTCTCAGAGCTTCTCGGCCAGGAGGTCAGTGTGGATCACTCTCTCCATTGTGCTGTCTGATAAGTTTTCCTGCATTTCATGCAAACCATCCAACACCGAATGCCGTCGCGGAGCTCAAGGAAGGACAGGTGCTGCTGCTCGTGAACGTCGTTCTGATATTTTCGTTCTATTTTCCCGTGCGCATGTGCAGGTGAAGAAGGTCGACGACTGCATCGGCGAAGTCGTCGCAAATGCCGTCGCGGAGCTCCAGGAGGGTCAGGTGCTGCTGCTCGAGAACGTGCGGTTCCACCCCGAGGAGGAGCAGAACGACCCCGATTTCGCCCAGAAGCTCGCCGCGAACGCGGACCTGTACGTCAACGATGCGTTCGGCACGGCGCACCGCGCGCACGCGTCCACGGAGGGCGTGACCAAGTTCCTGAAACCCTCCGTTGCGGGTTTCCTCCTTGAGAAGGTGTGTCCAAGTGTGACTTCACGTTCGAGCGGTAATCTTCATCTGTGCTTCCCCACGTGCAAGCAACCTTGCAGCGAAGTATGTAGCCGCGTCTTTTTGAAGCGTTCCATTTCTGAATACCTTCTTCCGTTCTTTTTGCTTGTTTCCTATTCCTGCACCAGAGATTCTTTGGTATAAAAAACGCACGCTTGATTCCCCACCTTTTTAAGTGAGCGGCCACTGTTATATGTGGTTGTGTTTCATTTTCTGCTGTTTCCCTCGCATCGCTCGCCCCTTCCATACGTTTCATTTTCTGCTGCTTCCTCAGGAGCTGGACTACTTGGTTGGAGCCATTGCTGACCCCAAGCGGCCGTTTGTGGCGATCGTGGGTGGATCCAAGGTGTCAACCAAGATCAGCGTGATTGAATCTCTCTTTAACAAGTAAGTTATCTGTTTCGGTCACATGTTGCTGCTCGTCTTGAGGAAATTTCAGTCGTGGTGACTTTATAGAATTCGGCACGGCTGATCTAGTTCGTGGGTGGATCCAGGCTGGGATCCCTGCTTAACGACACGTTTCCAAGGCGACCTTTGAGTCACTGTAATGTCTCTTTGATTCGACTCAAGATGTCCACCAAAGTGGTTCCTGATGTCCACCAAAGTGGTTCCTTGGTGACGAGTAAATATTCCGTTTCGACTCGTCTTGAGATTGTTTCCAGTTCTTGCGTAATTGGTTTCATGACCGGCCCGGTGGTGTGGGGTATGAAGTAAGCAACTAAGATCATCGTGAAGGTTCTGTTAGACCTGTAAGCCCAAAGATCGTGTAATCGTTTCCAAGGTCGGCGGTGACCACTGCACTGGTGCCGCGACACAGTTTCGCACTCTGACTGCAACAAAGGGCTCATATCCCAATCCCCCCTTTCCGCATCCTTCTCCCCCTTCCCCTCTCTTCCTCCCCCTCTGTCGACAGGTGCAACAAGGTGCTGCTGGGCGGCGGCATGATCTTCACGTTCTACAAGGCATTGGGCTTGTCTGTCGGAAAATCGCTGGTGGAGGAGAGCCAGGTGCAGCTGGCGACCAGCCTCGAGGAGTTGGCCAAGACCAAGGGCGTCGAACTGCTCCTGCCAACGGACGTCGTAGTCGCTGATCAATTTGACGCTGATGCCAGGACCCAGGTGAGATCACTGGGGCTGGAGGGAGAGAGGGAGAGAGGGAGAGATGGGTGTTTGGGTCGAGGGGGGGAGGGTGCTGGGGAAAGGGAAGAAGGGTGCTGGGAGGAGGTTAGACGCGTGCTGGAATGGGACATCCCATTTCCAGGTGCTGAAGCCATCCCGGATTGCTGCGTGGGGCTGGATTTTGACCCAGGCAGCATCAGTACCTTGTATTATGTTATCGTTGAATGCAGAGCTGCTATGCTAAGCGCCCGTTCAAACATGTGCCTCTCTCCTCTCTCCTCTCCCCTCTTTCCTCTCTCCTCTCCTCTCTCTCCATCCCGTTCCTTGTCCAGGTGGTTTCAGCAAAGGACATCCCGGACGGCTGGATGGGGCTGGACATTGGCTATGAGAGTGCATCAACGCCCTCTCTAATGTGATCAGTGGTGCCAAATCCATCATTTGGAATGGCCCCATGGGCGTGGGTGAAACATGTGCCTCTCTCCTTTATTTCTCCTCCAGGTGGTTTCAGTAGGGGCAATTCCGGACGGCTGGATGGGACTGGACATCGGCCCTGACACAATCAAGACCTTCGAGGCTGCGATCAGTGACGCCAAGACCATCCTCTGGAATGGCCCCATGGGCGTGTTTGAAATCCCAAAATTCGCCGCGGGAACCTCTGTGAGTGTTGCTGCTGGCATTATAGTACATGTTCGCACTGTGTATGCACATGTGTGTCACGGTGGTAACCACTCACCAACTTCACATGCTGGTGGATGGTGTGTCGGCATCTCACCCGAAATCAATTCTGAACCCGAATCTACTGTCATGGCCGGTCTTATCGTTCCCTCTACTCCCCTCGTTTATTATTTCGTGATTTTCAGGCGATTGCTAATGCGCTCGCAGACGAGACAGCCAAGGGTGCCACAACCATCATCGGAGGTGGTGACAGCGTGGCAGCAGTGGAACAAGCAGGAGTGGCTGACAAGATGAGCCACATTTCGACAGGTGGCGGCGCATCATTGGAGCTGTTGGAGGGTAAGGTGCTCCCTGGTGTTGCTGCTCTCGATGAGGCGTGAAAAGGACCTTGCAGCAAAAATCTTGCTGCTTACAGAGTTGCTTATAGTCAGTGCAGAGATGAGGTGTGAACAGTTTTTACAGATCTTCGCACATTTCTAGGAATGCAACTACTATATCCTGACATGTTATGTCAGGTTTATAAATAGTGATTGCAGGTCATAGCTTCATCCTTGAAAGTGTTATTGTGACGTACGGTACGTCGTAAACTCCTACAGGAATGACACTTGAGTGAGGTAATAAGCGTTCAGAGCTTCAAAGGACTTCAAATGAGTATGCACTCCCTGCAGGATAAGCCCCATTGATTACGGTATCACCAGCTGAAGTGGTAACGATCAACGTCAAACTATAAACCCCCCATCCTCTGTTGTCTAAGTTTACATTACATACTGGCAAATGTATTGTATTGTGAAACTGTTGGAAGCCATTCGCTCCCCGCCATCCACCATTCGCAGAAGGTGCTGCTACCGTAATTGTCATCTCACAACCAAAACAGCCCTCAAGGCAACATTGTTGTTGTATCCCATTCTCGCTCCCGGCAATGGAAAAGAGCAGCAGGAAGGACTAGAGAAAGGTGAGGTATGAAGGCAAGACACAGTTCAAACTGCCATCCTCTCCCACCTGCCCACCATCGGCAGAAGCTGCTGCACCTTGTCGTACATACCCAGCAGCCCTCCCGTATGTACAAACAAAACTCGCCGCCCCGCCCATTCGTCTGGGTTCTGCTTCATGTCCTGTAGCAACCCCCTGAGGGCCTTTCCACTGTGGGAAGGAGAAATGGTGGACGGAGAGAGGGGGATGGAGGGAGAGGGGGAGGCAGGGAGCAGTTATGGGTTCAAGGTTTTGAGGGTTCGAGACTGGAGGCTTAAGCAAAAATGGCATGCCCATTCCCTCTTCCCATTCAGAAATGGGCTTTGAAGGATATACCTGTAGACTGGGTCGAGAACTATTCCTGTGCTTTGAGCAACCGACTGCACCAGCTGAAGCTCCTTGTTTCCTTTGCCTGGTTTTCTTTAGGATTTCCACGCAGATTGAACTCCTTCCTCACACGTACCTGTAGACTGGGTCGAGAACTATTCCTGTGCTTTGAGCAACTGACTGCACCAGCTGAAGCTCCTCCTCCGTGCTTATGGCATAGCCTGCCCCCTTCACCTGCTCATGCGGTCATATTCACATATTGTACATAGGCACATATGCACATATGCACGCATGCACGTATGGAAGTATAGACACATATGAATGCACGCAGGGGCACAGACCCTTTCGCCACTACACCAGCTGAAGCTCCCCCTCCGTGCTGATGGCGTAGCCTGCCCCCTTCACCTGCTCACGTGCACATACGGAAGAGCACACACATGTAAGGACGAGTAAGAGGAAGCGGGAGAAACATGGATCGATCAAACCAATGACCCGCAGCAGGTATCGAGCAGCAACGCTCCTCCCCTAGGTGGGGATGAGCGTGACTCCCAGGTGTCTAGCAACCCTTGAACGTAGTCGTAGAAGAGCACACACATGTAAGGACGAGTAAGAGGAAGCGAGAGAAGCATGGACCGTCACACCAATGACCCGCAGCAGGTATCGAGCAGCAACGCTCCCCTAGGTGGGGATGACGTGCCTCTGTCTAGCAGCCCTTTTTGATGCGTATGATTTTGCGTGACTCTGCGTGAGAATTCTCAAAGGGTGGGGATGATGCGAGTCTGTCTAGCAGCCCTTGAATGCAGTCGCAGAAGTAAGTAATGATAGAAAAAGGAGCTCAACTGAATGATTAGTAAAGAAGGCACTAGGCCTTAAGTACAAACAAGGTTGGGTTGGGAAAGGCTAGGGAAAGGATGGGATGGGAATCCTAGCAAATCTCCAATTGGTGAGTTGGCAGATTTGCAGGATTACGAGGGAATCCCAACCAGATAGGGTTGGGATTACAAACTACACCCAACCCGCAAATAACCTACGCGATATAAAATATGGTACACAAAATGTGGGCAGCCTAATTCTAACAAGTAACCGGTAGTGCTGAACCCTAAACTCTGGCATTTTCCATTGCAGGACGAGTGAACGAGTGAGAGGATGTGAGACAAAGACGTATGGGCACTCACGTCAATAACTCGCAGCAGGTCCCTTGAAGCAACGCTCCCTGGCTTAGAAGTCACTCCATCCAGCAACCCTTGAATGTAGTCATAGAAATAGCCAGGGGAATCGCACACCGAGTAGGCATGCACCCGCGAAGAGAGAGCACTGAGGTGCACTCCTAGCGCCAACCCAGCTGAGGTGCCGCCACTGGGGGAGTTGGTGTGGGGGTAGCGGGAATGCAGAGAAGCAGGGAAGTGTGGAGGTAACTGGGAGAGTCGCACACAGAGTAGGCATGCTCGAGGGTGGAAGAGAGGGCGCTCAGACGCACTCCCAACGCCAACCCTGCTGACGTGCCGCCACTGTGTGGGTTTAGGTGTGGGGCCACAAGGGAAGGGAGCGATGGAGAGGGGGTTGTTGGGAACAGAGGGAAGTATGGAAAGTATGGGAGTAGCCGGGAGAGTTGCACACAGAGTAGGCATGAACGCGGGTGGAAGAGAGGGCGCTCAGATGCACTCCCAGCGCCAACCCCGCTGACGTGCCGCCACTGTGTGTGGATGTAGGTGTGGGGTTAGCAGGGGCGCAGGGGAGCACGGAAGCAAGGGAAATGTGGGAGGTAGCCGGGAGAGTCGCACACAGAGTAGGCATGCATGCACGCGGGTGGAAGAGAGAGCACTCAGATGCATTCCCAGCGCCAACCCTGCTGAAGTGCCGCCACTGGAAAGGGGTGGTGTAGGGGGCAGATGGGGGGAGACGGATTCCGGGATGGGCGAGACGTGGGAGGTCTGAAAGTCGCACGCGGGTGGAAGAGAGGGCGCTCAGATGCACTTCCAGCGCCAACCCCGCTGAAATGCTGGGGGTGTTTGGAGGGGAGCTGTGGAGGAAATTAGCCCCACACCTCCAGCCTCGCTCCTAGCTTTCCACCCCACCACTCTCACCTGCTACACGCCATGGCAAGGTCGTCAAACCCCGAAGCACCTAATAAACTCCACACCCACACTCGCACCATCTCACACATTCTCTCCTCGTCACAACGGTCGCCTGCCTTTCTCACCTGCCACACGCCATGGCAATGTCGTCAAACCCCAAAGCACCTCCTGCCTCGCCTCTAGTCAGCTGCACACACACACCTTGCCCCTAGTCAGCTGCCTGACACACCTCTAGCTTTCCCCACAGCACCAAGCAAGCACTCACCTGCCACACGCCATGGCAATGTCGTCAAACCCCGAAGCACCTCCCCTCACACCTCGCCTCTAGTCAACGCCGTACCCACACTCGCACCATCTCACACATTCTCTCCTCGTCACTACGTTCGCCTGCCTTTCTTACCTGCCACACGCCATGGCAATATCGTCAAACCCGGAGGCACCTCCCGCCTCGCCTCTGCTCAGCTGCTGCTCGATCTCCCTCACCGCCTCCATATATCCCCTGATAAAACGGGGTGGTAACCGGGTAACAAGTAGGAGGATGGTGGAGATTGGGGGAGGCAAGAAGGAAATGTTGCTGCTGCTGGATCTTTCTCACTGCCTCTATGTACCCTCTGGTGGGCAAATACTGAAGGGTGTGGTAACCAGGTAACAAATAGGGGACAGGTGTAAGGAAGAAAGATCGCTGCTGCTGGATCTCCCTCACTGCCTCTATGTACCCTCTGGTGGGTAATGATAACTTGGTAACACGTAGGGGGATGGTCGAAAGGAGGGATGGTAAGAACGAATGACTACTGCTGCTCGATCCCCCTCGCAGCCTCCAGATACCCCCTGATAATAACCAGGTAACACAGGCGTTGCACATGATGTTACATCTCCCTTACTGCATCACATGAATCCTTCGCTCATCACGCCGGGGGACGAGAGGGCGCTCAGATGCACTCCCAGCGCCAACCCTGCTGACGTGCCGCCAGTTGCCCGGCGTTTCGAGAGCAAGCCAAGCCTCACTTCACTCACCAGGTGCCGAGAGCGTTGAGCCCCCAACAGGAATGACATAGGGCTTCCATCTCTCTGCTGCTACCCATTCTTTTAAGGCACCTGTCATGAGTTCACTGTGTGCCTCACTTCACTCACCAGGTGCCGAGAGCATTGGAGCCCCCAACAGGAATGTCGTAAGGCTTCCTTCCCTCAGCTTCTCACTGTACGGCAAGTAGCTCCCCCAGGTGAATCCATAACATGCTTCACCATATTCTCACCAGGTGCCGAGAGCGTTGGAGCCCCCAACAGGAATGACGTACGGCTTCCTTCCCTCAGCTGATAGCCTCTCTGCCAACACCCTGCCCAGGTGCTGCAAGGAGGAAATGAAGCAGGTATGGCAGGGGAGAGGGAGCAAGAAGGAGAGTGACAGACAGGAATGACGTAAGGCTTCCTTCCCTCAGCTGATAGCCTCTCCGCCAACACCTTGCCCAGGTGCTGCCAGGGGGAGGGATGGTAAGGGAAGAGTTGGAGAATAAACCTAGAGACGACAAAATCCCCCAACAACCAGCTAGCCATGAATCTGTTCTGAAGCTGAATCAGCTGCCACCCACACGGCGATTGCCCCCTTCCCTCTTGGTAAACCCCTAACGCTGATTCAGCTTGCTTCAGAACAGAACGAACGCTCAGGAAAAAGAGTTAACCCCTCCTCCCCACAGGCCACCTCACCTCACCACACTGCCATGCTTGGCATACTCCTCTTTGGTAACCAGATGCACCCCCGCCATGGTCCCCCGCCATGGTCCCCCGCCATGGTCCCCCGCCATGGTCCCCCGCTTACCCCACCTGCCCCGCCACCCCATTCCACCTCACCTCACTGCCATGCTTGGCATACTCCTCTTTGGTAACCAGATGCACCCTCGCCCCCACCATTCACTGCTGCGGCATGCCCACACTACTTAAGTCGACTCCTGCCCTCTCCTCCCTCCACCTCACCTCGCTGCCATGCTTGGCGTACTTTTCCTTGGTAACCAGATGAACCCTCGCCCCCACCATGCGTTCCACCAGCAAGTTAATTTCTCGTTGACTGAAAGCTTTCCCACCTCCCCTCCCCCCATCCCTCACCTCGCTGCCATGTTTGGCGCATTCTTCCTTGGTAACCAGATGCACCCTCACCCCCACCATGCGCTCCACCAGCAGGTCTGCTGTAAGTAGACTGGAGCCAAAACCTCTCACTCGCCCCCCATCCCTCACCTCGCTGCCATGCTTGGCGTATTCCTCCTTGGTAACCAGATGCACCCTCGCCCCCACCATGCGTTCCACCAGCAGGTTGCCCTCCAGGCCTGGATCAGAGCCCGCTAGCGCCTGGCTTGGGGGGCATGAGGGGCCAATATGAGGGGCGAAATGACAGAAGAGAAATGAGTGATAGGAGAAAGGTTAATGCCCCCTCGCTGCCCCCTTGCTGCCCCCACCATGCGCTCCACCAGCAGGTTGCCCTCCAGGCCTGGATCGGAGCCCGCCAGGGCCTGGGAGAACGGGTAAAAGGGGCCAAAACCGGGGAAAGAGGAGGGTATATACTATCAAGACATTCACCCTCACCAGATGCCCCCTCGCTGCCCCCACCAACCAGCAGGTTGCCCTCCAGGCCTGGATCAGAGCCCGCCAGCGCCTGATCAGGGGGGGGGGGGGGGATGCGCGCACGAAGGGGAGCACAGGAGTGAAGGAAACACAGGAGCTGGGCCAGACACATGCACACCCTCACCAGATGCCCCCCTCGCTACCCCCCCCATGCGCTCCACCAGCAGGTTGCCCTCCACGCCTGGATCAGAGCCTGCGAGCACCTGATGAGAGAGATGATAGGGGGTAAAGGGAAGAATGATTAGACAAAGACAGTAGGTATGCAGCCTCACCAGATGCCCCCTCGCTGCCCCCACCATGCGCTCCACCAGAAGATTGCCCTCCAGGCCTGGATCAGAGCCTGCCAGCGCCTGGTCAGAAGAAAAGAACGAAGACTGAAGGGAGCGATACAGTATCACAGTTACCTTCAACGCACCTCCCCCTTCCCCCGTCCTCCTCAAACCCCCCGCCGAACCCCCCCCTCCCCACACCCCCTTTCCACACCTCCACCATGCGTGAATCACCAGCAGATCTCCCCCTCCCCTTCTCCCCACTCTTTCCCCATTTTCCTCGAACCCAGCCGCCTCACCCGGCTCGAACCCACCCCATCCCCAACCCAACCCACATTCAAATGGCCTGTCAAGCGCACACGTTTCAGTCCACCCTGCCGCCTCACCCGGCTGGTCCTCAGGATAAGGTGTGTGTGCCTCGAGCCCGGCACCAACCCACCCACCCCATCCACATGCCCATCCCCATCCCCAACCCAACCCACATTCAAATGGCCTGTCAAGCGCACACGTTTCAGTCCAGCCTGCCGCCTCACCCTGCTGGTCCTCAGGATAAGGTGCGCCTCGAGCCCGGCCAATCGCGCGGCGACAGCTGTCGCGCGGCAGTGGTTGCTCTGGATGCCTCCGATGGTGATGAGCGTGTCTGCTCCCTTGGCGAGGGCGTCAGCGAGTAGAAACTCCAGCTTGCGCACCTGATGGTGGTGGTGGATTAGATAAACACATACTCAGTATAGATACATGTACACATATATAATCAAACACATGGATGCCTCCGATGGTGATGAGCGTGTCTGCTCCCTTGGCGAGGGCGTCAGCGAGTAGAAACTCCAGCTTGCGCACCTGATGGTGGTGGTGGTGGGGATACACAAGCATTCATACACACACAGACACATAAGATAGACCCTGGGAGCAGCCGATGGTGATGAGCGTGTCTGCTCCCTTGGCGAGTGCATCCGCTAACAGGAACTCCAGATTGCGCACCTGATGGTGGTGGTGAAGTGGGTACACGGACACATGTATAGAACACACATATCAGCTGTCGCGCGGCAGTGGTTGCTCTAGATGCCACCAATAGTGATGAGCGTGTCTGCTCCCTTGGAGGGTGCGTCAGCGAGTAGGAACTCCAGCTTGGAATGCACACTATAAACGAATCCATATCCATGTTTCAACTAGTCCACTGAGTTCCATTCCCGGCCGGGCCGATCGTTCCTCTGCTCAGGGTGAGGGTCAATCATCATATATTCTGTCACTTCCATTTCCGAGCCAGGCCATGCTTTTCTTCTAAGAACCCATCTTCTCCGCCTGACCCTCTCTCCCCCCATCCCCCTCCTTCCCTCACCTTGTTGCCGCTGACTTTCATTCCCGGCCGGACCAATCATTCCTCTGCTCAAGGTGGGGATCAATCATCATATATTCTGTCACTTCCATTTCCGAGCCAGGCCATGCTTTTCTTCTAAGAACCCATCTACTCCCCCTGACCCTCTCTCCCCCCATCCCCCTCCTTCCCTCACCTTGTTGCCGCTGACTTTCATTCCCGGCCGGACCAATCATTCCTCTGCTCAAGGTGGGGATCAATCATCATATATTCTGTCACTTCCATTTCCGAGCCAGGCCATGCTTTTCTTCTAAGAACCCATCTACTCCCCCTGACCCTCTCTCCCCCCATCCCCCTCCTTCCCTCACCTTGTTGCCGCTGACTTTCATTCCCGGCCGGACCAATCATTCCTCTGCTCAAGGTGGGGATCAATCATCATATATTCTGTCACTTCCATTTCCGAGCCAGGCCATGCTTTTCTTCTAAGAACCCATCTACTCCCCCTGACCCTCTCTCCCCCCATCCCCCTCCTTCCCTCACCTTGTTGCCGCTGACTTTCATTCCCGGCCGGACCAATCATTCCTCTGCTCAAGGTGGGGATCAATCATCATATATTCTGTCACTTCCATTTCCGAGCCAGGCCATGCTTTTCTTCTAAGAACCCATCTACTCCCCCTGACCCTCTCTCCCCCCATCCCCCTCCTTCCCTCACCTTGTTGCCGCTGACTTTCATTCCCGGCCGGACCAATCATTCCTCTGCTCAAGGTGGGGATCAATCATCATATATTCTGTCACTTCCATTTCCGAGCCAGGCCATGCTTTTCTTCTAAGAACCCATCTACTCCCCCTGACCCTCTCTCCCCCCATCCCCCTCCTTCCCTCACCTTGTTGCCGCTGACTTTCATTCCCGGCCGGACCAATCATTCCTCTGCTCAAGGTGGGGATCAATCATCATATATTCTGTCACTTCCATTTCCGAGCCAGGCCATGCTTTTCTTCTAAGAACCCATCTACTCCCCCTGACCCTCTCTCCCCCCATCCCCCTCCTTCCCTCACCTTGTTGCCGCTGACTTTCATTCCCGGCCGGACCAATCATTCCTCTGCTCAAGGTGGGGATCAATCATCATATATTCTGTCACTTCCATTTCCAAGCCAGGCCATGCTTTTCTTCTAAGAACCCATCTACTCCCCCTGACCCTCTCTCCCCCCATCCCCCTCCTTCCCTCACCTTGTTGCCGCTGACTTTCATTCCCGGCCGGACCAATCGTTCCTCTGCTCAAGGTGGGGATCAATCATCATATATTCTGTCATTTTCATTTCCCAGCCAGGCCATGCCTTCTACGAACCCATCTACTCCCGCTGACCCTCTCCCTCCCCATCCCTTTCCTCACCTTGTTGCCGCTGAGCTCCATTCCTGAAAGATCATCCCTCTGCTCGGGGAGAGAGGGCACCAGGAGAGGACAAGGGGAAGATTTAATTCCAGTGACAATTCCTAAATTAACAATAACAAAATAACAAGGTGTATTTACTAAGAAATACACCAGGACTCCCTCAAGGAGCAGGTACGATGCTGTGCTTGCAAGCGGAAAGAAGACAGGAATCTGGGAATGGAATAGTAGAACCGAAACTGGGACTAATAACTTGCTCACTTCAATGTGCAGCTCTGTGCCAGGTGGGAGATCCGGAATGTTCCACCTATCTATAAGAGACCTTTGAGTCGACCCAAAAGCCACCTCGGAAACATTCTCAACAGACAACTGCTTACCTTTATGTAGAGCTCCGTGCCGGGCGGGAGATCTGGAATATTCCACCGATGATGGGTGACTTTTGAGTCGACCCATAAGTCACCTTGGAAATATTCTCAACAGACAACTACTGACCTTGATGTAGAGCTCCGTGCCGGGTGGGAGATCTGGAATGTTCCACCGGTGAATAGGCGTTGGACGCTGGAATAGAGAAAATGAGGAATGGGGGGGTTGTGGAAAGGGGGGGGGAAGGTGTCGTTTCGGAAGGTTGTAAGGGGTAGAGTAGGAGGGAGGTATCAAAAAGTTTGCTTGCGCAGGGGTAAGGCTCCGTGCTCTATGGGAGATCTGGAATGTTTCACCGATCAGAAGTGGTGTGCGCTGGAGTACAAGAAAGGAGGATTGGGGTAAGAAGGTCGGAGGGAGGAGAGAAAGAGGTTAAACCCGTTACCTTCATTGCATTCTCGTGCCACACTACTCACATGTGCGAGAGTGAGGAACTGGCTGGGCAGGGGGCTCAAATGAGAGGCCCATTCCGGGGGATCATATGGCTGCAGCGACAGGTAACCCGATTCTGGGAACCTCCTGCTCGTGCTTCCATCCGCGTTAGAGACTGCAGCGTTACTAGCAGTAGAATTCGCAGTGTGAGAATCCGGGTTCGACGCCATGGCTCGCGGAATCCGAATTTTGGAAGGCGCTCGAGAGAAGCTTCTAGAAGCTGCCGCTGGGGCCGCAAGGAGCTTTCTTGACAGATGACTGAGAGGAAAGCTGGAGCTTGAAAGGGTTCCCTCAGGCGCTGTGGTGGGTCGATATAAACAGACGCGCCTCTGGAGTAAGGACGAAGCGCATACTGTGGTGCGCATTGGACCAAGGGAGGTTGCTGTAACAGACTGCGTCGTTACACAAGCCGCAAGAATAATCGTGCACGGATGAGGTATGAGACGAAATTGCAAATGGGACTATAAGTGAATGATCCTGGAATTTCAGAACTGTTCAGTAGAGGACTGCTGCCTGAGACGGAACGCGATTCTGCTCTGGCACAGGGTCGGAATAGCAAGCAGCTTTGCTCTGGTGCAGTGAATTTGTCGCACAACACTTGGACATCTCGTCCTTGATATTGGCAGGGTCACCGTTCCGATAGAGAATATTGAGTCAATAAGGTGGTAGGGAGAAACTGACTGACAGCGGCACATTCTGTTCTTTTGCTAGGGTGAACTTGGCCTTCGTGTACAATCACAAAATCCGCAAATTGTTCAAATTGTAGGCAATGTTCAGCGACATCCTCAGCAAAACCCAAACACAATCTTGAAAGTCGTTACAGTGCGCCACGTGCCAACCCGCCTGTCGCGTTAACCACTCAATTTACGACACGCCGGACGCGGAGTCAACATTTTCGCTGACACAATCCAAAAAGTCCCCAGCAAGCGATCATTCACAGCTGGTTACCAATCTTTCCCACTTTATCAGGAGCGCTAGTAGAGAGGACGCTCCTGCTGACGGTCCTCTTCATAAAAGAGAGAGCTTTCGCTGTTTGAAGGATTCTTGCTGGTGGTCCACTTATCTATCAGATAGCACTGCGGGACAGTGCGAAATTAAGGGAAATTTAGCTATTTCCCTCCTTTTCTAGCCGCTTGTAATTTCCTGATCCAGTCATGGCCGCCATTTCCGCGTCCAAAGCAGCTGTCGCAAGCTCAGTTGCCTTCAAGCAGTGTGGATTCTCCTCGGGAGAGGCCTTCGGAGAGCAGTCTCTGGCGCTTAAGAACACTGTCCACCTCAAGAACAAGAACCAAGCTGCTCTGTCATGCCGAGCAAGCGTTGCATCAGGTTGATTACACGTGACCATCCCTTAGTCATCACTTTCCTTCAGCCAACGCAAAATTTCCCCCACATAAGCCGCTTTTGGCTTACATTTGCTACCTTCACAACATTCGCGTGCTTATGCGTCCTTCTGCGTTCTCTGATTTGGAATTCGTGCAATTACAGAGACCGTGAGCGCTTCCGCTCCTGCGTCGACAGAGGATCCTTTGTTGCTGAGGGCCGTCAGGGGCGAAAAGGTGGAGAGGCCTCCAGTCTGGCTCATGAGGCAGGCTGGCCGGTACATGAAGGTGAAACAATTCTGCAATTAATCATATCAACTGATAATATAAGTGATGATCACAATGCACTTATTTCCTTTCATCTGCGGGCCATTGATAATAGCTCCTACGTTTGCCTCCGCGCTCAGGTTTATCAAGACCTGTGCAAGAAGCACAAGACTTTCAGGGAACGCTCTGAGAATGTCGACCTCTCGGTCGAGATCTCTCTCCAGCCGTGGAGGGCCTTCAAGCCAGACGGAGTAAGAACAGAGAATTCAGTATTTTCAATCATTCCTTTCGAATGTTCGTTCGACTGCAGCTTTTCCTGTTTGTGGATTCTCATTATAGTTTTTTCTTTGTGTTGTAAATCTTCTCATGGATGCAGATCATCCTGTTCTCTGACATTCTGACGCCGCTGACCGGAATGAACATTCCGTTCGACATCGTTCCCACCAAGGGCCCGATTATCCATGACCCTATTAGGACTGCTGCGGATGTCGCCAAGGTGCAGCCTCTGGACCCCGACACGGCGCTGCACTACGTCGGCGAGACCCTCCAGATTCTCCGGAAGGAGGTGAGAATCACATGCTTTATGGAATGTAACAAAAAAGCAGCCGCGTGTCCCATCTCCTTCCGTAACCCTATTTACATCCCGATCCCGTCGCACGTAATGAGTCGTTGAGCAAGGCATACATTTGGAATCATATACCTCTTCACCGTATCCGTGGGTTTATCCGTGGGTAGCAACCAAGAGAGCAATTCAGTTCATGGCCCAGGAAAACCACTAGTGAAAAAAAATCTTCGACTGACGTCGCATTTGCTCAATTTAACGAATCCGCAACTAAACCCTTACGAACGCGACATTGCTTGCTCTTCCTATTTCACTCTGACTTCATACTCTCCCTCTCATCCACGTTCCATTTGCAACACCGATCTGACTTACTCGACCCTCTTTACCCTAAATGAATTGCTGTACACCGTTCTTTCCTCTGCAGGCTGCAAACCAGTCAACTGTCCTCGGTTTCGTGGGTGCTCCCTTCACAATGGCGTCGTACATTGTCGAGGGTAGCTCGTCCAAGAACTTCTCCATCATCAAGAGGATGGCGTTTTCAACCCCAGAGGTGCGGATAGCATTTGACAGGTTCAACGTTAGATGGCATAAGTCGGTTCAGGCAGTGCACTGCAAAGTCCTTACCATGGTTTTACCTGGTTCAGATACGTGGCCTGGCACTAGCTTTTGACTGGTTTAACGTTACATGGACGAGTTGGTTCAGCCAGCGCACTTGAAAAACCTTACCATGGCTTCTTAACCAAGATATTTCATGCAAAGTTTCCACCTGTATATTCCTTCTCTGTGTTGGTGTTGTTTTATCATCACCCCTGCAGATTCTGCACGCACTGCTTGCCAAGCTGGCGGAGTCCACTGTGCGCTACATGCGCTACCAGGCAGACAATGGTGCTCAGGCCATTCAGATCTTTGATTCTTGGGCCACCAGCCTTTCTCCTTGCGGTACGTACGCCCTTGTTTTTCCCCAAAAAGGCTTCTTACAGTTCTTTTGCTAGTCAACACAGCAGCGCCCCAGTCTGTTCATCACCATTTTCTCCCGAAACTGTGTGTTGTCGCAGGTGTTGGGTGCTGCAATTTTATCCTGGCTCATGGGCTGACATGCTTATCTGTGTGCATATTTGTATGTGTATGTGTGATTTGGCAGACTTCGAGGTCTTCAGTCTGCCATACATCAAGCAGATTGTGGCTGAGGTGAAGTCCACCCACCCCGACCTGCCCATCATTCTCTATGCTAGCGGCAGTGGTGGCCTGCTTGAGCGCATGTCTAAGACTGGCGTCGATGTTGTCAGTGTGGACTGGACCGTTGACATGGCGGAGGCTCGGGAGAGGATTGGCAAGGACATTGGTGTGCAGGGTAATGTGGACCCGGCGATTCTGTTCGGTTCCAAGGAGACAATTACAGCGAGGATCCATGACACAGTGGCGAAGGCAGGATCGCACAAGCACATTCTTAACCTTGGTCATGGTGTCTTGATAGGCACCCCAGAGGAGAATGTGGAGCATTTCTTCGCTGAGGCACTCAAGCTTAGGTATTAGTGCATTTGGATAAAGATCCAATCCACCTGATTTTGGTGTTATCGTGCATATCTTTGTACCATGAAAGTATCCTCTCTGTTACGTTATTCATGTGTTACGACATCAACTGGGACGTTAATAAGCTAGGATCTTATAGCGAGTGCTGCCTGAGTTTTGCTCCACCGACTTCGATCAGGTTTCTGGCGCGGTGCCTTCGGACAGCGTAGTGCTCAACATCTCCAGGTTTAGTTCGGTGATGCACGTTTTATCACTGTATAGCCTGTTCCAGCGCGGTACTCTGCATTGACAATCCACGAGTCAGAAAGACGTCACGCTCTTTTTAGTCACGTATCAGTGACGACCCCCGGCCAATCAAGGTCAAGCGGAAGGAGTCGTGTTTTTCGGGTCGGGTACGATAAGAACGCATTTCGGACTTCCTACCAAGCGACTTCCAAACAAGTTTGGTGGTCGTTGAGCCAATGACGTTGGAGGGAGCAGCTCTGTGATTGGAGAGTCTCGTAGAGCAGTCGCAAAACCGTCGTCTGTTAGGAAGTTGCTTGTTTGGAAGTGCCCGAAATGCCCGAAATCTACCACCGAGGTTTCAAAACTCGAAAATCAAATCCACCACCCATCATTATTCATTTGGCTACGTGTAATATCTTTCTGCCATCATCCAGGTCAGGTGTCAGGCATTGCAGCCAATATCTAGCTAGCCATTATCTAGCTCAGGCTCTCCTGATACAATCATTCGAGCCCAGCTTCCGCATTTTACGCTGTCCTGTACTCTCGGTAGATTAGAACGGATTACTAAGGATGGCATGCTAACTTACTGGTGGGAACACCCAGGTCTGCGATCGCGTTTCGGAATTTTTGTGTCAACGGCATCTCTTCGAATTAGTCACATTTTGGAAGCCTGGCCACTCAAAAGAAGACCTCTTTCGTTCATTCGGCAGGCCGGATCGTCGTTGCTCTCTACGATTTCTTCTAATCCCTTCGAAATATCTGACGATCACGTATGGTGAGACACCGTCGGCTCACCTCTCAAGACAGCTTCACACAGCCGCCACGTGTACAGTCGAAACTCCTATTGTAGGATGCGAATTCGTCGGAATAAGAGAACGTGGGATCCGTCAGTGCACAGCACCTAGGGTTCCACCTCGCCCGTTTCCAAGCTTGAGAATTTACCCTTGAAAATTCGTCTGTGCCACTTTCCAAGACTCCAGCATGTTCAGTAGATAAATTCGCTGTATCGGGACCAGGAGAATCTCGACGCAGGCGGTCAGAATGTGATTTCCTCTGCCTTAGGATTCCACGCCACTCGATCTCGTCTCTTACTGCTCCTCACTGCTCCCCTCCCCCCACCGCTTTTCACCGCTCCCCACCGCCCTCCACCGCATCTACTGTTCCAGCTACACCCACCATGGGAGCCGTACCTCCCGGTCTCGCCCTAATTCAGTACCTGCACCGCCGACGAAGCTCCCGCCATTACACCACCGCTACATTCACATCCGCTCCTTTCACATTCTACGGCCAGCAGACCTCCGTCCTCGTTTTAACCTTCCTCGCTTACGCTCTCTTCCACGCCACCCGAAAACCCCCAAGTATTGTTAAAGCGGTTCTGAATCCGCTCCCAGCGGCCCCCCTCGCGTCCCCCGCTTTTCCCGCCGAGATTCCCGCCGCGAACCCCGCGTCTTCGTCCACGCAAGGGTTCCCGAGATCCCCGCCGCCGCCTCCCGCGCCGCCTGGGAGAAAGACCATAGAGGTCGGCGGTAATTTAAGAACTATTGGAGTTAGTAGGGGCTATGGGGTCTATGGACAGGAGACGACGGGAGCAGGGTTTCACAGCAGTATGGTGGAAAATAGCGATCCAAAGGGCTCTGCTGATTGGGAGAGAGAGCTGCAGGCTTATAACGAGGATGGAGTGCAGAGAAGCGGTGATGAAAGGATGGAGGGTGGGAGGCGATTGGAGGAGGTACGGGACGGCAGGAGAGGAATGGAAAGGCGTAAATTGAAGCGGTTTGTAGGTTCATGGCGAAGGGAGTTACCTGGTGGCGATTGGAGATGGGATGCTGGCGATGGGCGAAGAGAGTTACCCGCTGGCGAAGGGCGAAGGGAGTTAGCTGTTCAAGCTGTGATGGAGAGGCGAGAAGCAGAGAAAAGCACATTGGGCCCTGTACAAGCGTTTGGGACAACTAGCTCTGGATCAGCAGCAGCAGGAGCAGGAGGAGCAGGAGGAGCAGGAGGAGCAGCAACAAACAACAGCTTATCAGTTCAAGTCGGGAAAGTGACTGAAGCAGCTAAGGCAGCAGCGGGGGCAGCAGGAGCAGCAGTAACAGCAGCGCAAGCAGCAGCAGGGGCAGCAGCAGGTGCAGCAGTTGACGCAGCAGGAGCAGCAGGGGTAGCAGCAGCTAGAGCGTCAGCCGCAGCAGCAGGAATAGACTCGTCTAAAGGCCACCATTCTGGGCTAAACACCTATGGATGGGCGCCCTTTAACGGGACCAACGGCCAGGCGCTACTAGGGGAACTTGATGTGGCATTTTTGGCTTCTTATGCTGCAGGAATGTATGTCGCCGGGTCTTGTGGCGATAGAATGGATCTAAGGGTGTTTCTTTTTGTGGGGATGCTCGGTTCGGGCGTCTTCACGTGCCTCTTTGGAGCGGGGTATTTCCGGGATATACACTCTCTGGGGTATTACCTCGTCGTTTCGGTGTTTGCGGGGGCGTTTCAGTCGATCGGGTGGCCCTGTGTTGTCGCAATTATGGCACGGTGGCATGGGAAAAAAGGCCGAGGATTGGTCTTAGGCATGTGGAATGCTCACACCTCCTTTGGGAACATTCTAGGCTCGTTATTAGCTGCTGCGTCTCTGGCTTCTGGCTGGGGCTGGGCGTTTCTCGTCCCCGGAATAGCGATAATTGTAGCGGCGTTTGTTGTGTTACTGTTCCTGCCGCCCGGACCAGAGGAATTGGCGTTTGAGCCGCCAGAGGAGGAGGAGGAGAAGGAGAAGGTGGTAGAAATGGCGATGGTGAGTGGAGGGGTGGTGGGGATTGGGGGAGAGAGAGTGAGTGTGGGCCCTGGTGGGGTTCTGTATAGCCCTGTGAGTACAAGGGATGGAGCAGGAGTGGGGAGTGGTGCGAGTGAAGTTGGTAGCGGTGCTCCCAGTGGTGCTGGTGGTGCTGGCGGAAAACTGGCAGGTGATGCATTTGTAGGTGAAAGAACAGCGGGAGGAGACGGGGAGAGAAGAAGCAGCCAGTTAGCGGAAAAGAGGGACTCAGCAGGAGCAAGAGAAGGAAACCCAGCAGGAGAAACCGGGTTACCCGCTCTATCCAACCATGTGCTTACTCAACAAAACGGGACATGCATTAACGAGGACGGGGGAGCCAGATCCCCCCCTCCCAAGCTACGCCTTCCCCCAAACCAGCACCAGCAGCAGCACCAGCAGCAGCAGAAAGACGTGTCAACATACGACGACGACAGTGCCGGGTTGTTAGAAGAGCTCGAGACAGCAGCCGCATCGATCGCCCACATGCGTTCCAGAGCCAGTGGCAGCAGCAGCGGAGGCGAAGGGGTTGATCGCGCGGTGGGGTTTCTGGAGGCGTGGAGGATTCCCGGCGTGGCCGCGTTTGCTCTCTGCCTGTTTTTCGCGAAACTAGTCGCCTACACCTTCCTCTACTGGCTGCCTTTCTTTATCAGCCGCACGGGTGGGTGTTAGGTCCCTTCCTTCCTGGCGTGGCAGCGTTTGCTCTCTACTTGTTCTTCGCCAAGCTAGTGGCATACACGTTTCTGTATTGGCTACCCTTCTTCATCAGCCGAACAGGTTGGGTTTCCAGCTGTGCAGATCAGTTTGAGACTCTGCAGCGTTTGCTCTCTGCTTGTTCTTCGCCAAGCTAGTTGCTTACACGTTCCTCTACTGGCTGCCTTTCTTTATCAGCCACACTGGTGAGTGGTACAGTTGACTCGTGAGCTCAAAGGTCCTTACCATAGGATGGCACTGGCACAATGTGTTGTTCCTTAGGTTCTTATGAAGAACAGGAATATAATATATCAACTTTCTGGCGTGCCGTGCACTTTCTTTACCTCTCTGACGCGCAATCCGGCATGGTTGATCGTCAGAAGAGAAAGAATCAGTTTCTCAAAAGGTGCTCTTCTTCTCTGCACTGCACCCCTGCCAGAGATCGAGGGCCGTTACCTCTCTGATGCGCAATCCGGCATCATGTCTACAGCAGTGTTCGACGTGGGGAAGACTAGGCGAGGCGTCCCTGAACCTGCTCTCCTGCCTTGCCTCATCACGCTCCCTGCCTCATCACGCTCCCTGCCTCATCTCGCTCCCTGCCTCATCACGCTCCCTGCCTCATCACGCTCCCTGCCCACCACTGCCCTTCTACCAGAAATCGAGGGCCGCTACCTCTCTGATGCGCAATCCGGCATCATGTCTACAGCAGTGTTCCACGAGGAGGAGACTAGGCGTCCCCGAAACTGCTCTCCTGCCCTGCCCTGCCTCATCACGCTCCCTGCCCACCACTATCCCCCCTCTACTGCCCTGCACTGCCCCCCCACCAGAAATCGAGGGTCGTTACCTCTCTGACGCGCAATCCGGCATCATGTCTACAGTGTTCGACGTGGGGAATGTAGCATCGTGCTCCCTGCCTGTACTGCCCTCCCCTCCCACCAGAAATCGAGGGTCGTTACCTCTCTGACGCGCAGTCCGGCATCATGTCTACAGTGTTCGACGTGGGCGGAGTGGTGGGCGGCATTCTTGCCGGCCATCTCGCCGACCAAACCGCCGCCCGCGCCACCGTTTCGGCTTCTTTCCTCCTCCTAGCTGCCCCGGCTCTAGCCGCATACTTCCTCCTAGGAGGTATCGCGCTCTGGGTGAATATCCTCCTTTTAAGCCTCTCCGGTGTGCTGGTTAACGGCCCGTACGCGCTGATCACTTGCGCAGTGTCTGCCGATCTCGGGCAGCATAAAAGTCTGCAAGGGAACGCCCGAGCGCTGGCTACAGTAACGGCGATAATTGATGGGACGGGATCGGTTGGAGCAGCATTGGGACCATTTATAACGGGGTTTATATCACAATTAGGGGGAGGGGGAGGAGGGGGAGGAGCAGGAGGGGGTTTGAGTGGGTGGGGTGCGGTTTTTGTGATGCTGGGGGTGTCTCTAGTAGCAGCTGTGTTGTGTATTTCAGGGTTGGTTGTGGAGGAGTTTAGAGGGATGGTGGAGGGGCGACGAGGGTCGGCAATCGGGCGGCAAAGTTTGGAGCAAGCAGCTTTGGAAAGAAGACCACTCCGATTAGAAGAAGGTACGTTATACCTGTTAAATACCTGTTATACCTGTTTAGGTAAGACCCTATGGTGTGGTAAATCATTTTGCTCATTACCTGTTATTTACCCATTTAAGAACCTTTGGTTGTATTGTATGTGAGGCAAGGCACCTGTGTGTAAGCGAGAGCCATGCCATGCATGGGAGTCGTGCCATGCATGCGAGTCATGCCATGCATGGGAGTCATGCCATGCATGGGAGCCATGCCATGCATGGGAGTCATGCCATGCATGGGAGCCATGCCATGCATGGGAGTCATGCCATGCATGGGAGTCATGCCATGCATGGGAGTCATGCCATGCATGGGAGTCATGCCATGCATGGGAGTCATGCCATGCATGGGAGTCACACCATACGTGGGAACCATAGCATATGTGGGAACCATACCATATGTGGGAACCATACCATATGTGGGAACCATACCATACGTGGTTGGGAATTGTACCATATGGAACCATACGGAGTTTGCTGCTGTTTTTCATGCCTTTTCACCTCGTGTACCCTACCCTGTGTGTCATCTTACCCTCATTTTCTGGTGTACCTATTGCTGTGTTCCTTGTGTACTTGCGCAGGAGGCTGAGGCAAACTGTTGCTGTTTCCTTAGTACCTTGATGTGTAACATTTTTGGTCCATGCACAACATTATATGAAATACGTACATTTTTGCCTTGAAGTACCAAAGCCCTTACGAAGTTTTGTGTCCAGTGTTAAACCCATCATGCTATCAGGACCACTTTACGCATTGGCGGTGATGCAAATACTGTTTCCCTGTTACGATGTGTATGTGTTGATTGACAAATTGTAAGTTCTTGTGCTCTTTGTACATCCCAATGCCACATGAAACTAGAGCAAGCTAGTCCCAACTCAATGTCCAATGGGATAGGAATCTTCTACTGCTGTATACCTAGTACGGTACCTTATATACCATTGCGTTCTTGAAATATAGTGAGAGTGCAGTAGAGGTTTTAATATTCAACTTCAAATGAAAAGTTCTTTTGGGATGCGAGATGTTCAATTCTAGTGAGGGGGGTAAGGGGAGATGTGGAAACACGTAACAGAAGAGACAGCATTGTAACTTCTTCACATATCTTCGTTTGAAACATCTGTTAATACCAGAGGAGCTTATAGAGGGTTCTGCCAGCCTTGAAAGGACGAAGGAACGGACGGACGAGATGTTCCGGAAAGAGTAACCGCCATTCGACGTTTTTCCACCGTTGTGTCCATGTAATTTCCGTGACGTTGTTCGGAAGGAGTGGCTTCGTCACTGTGATAGCGAAACCAAAGGGCAGGAAATTGTTCGCGAGCGCACCAGCTGAACGAAACCGCAGGTCTGCTGAACGCCCCTGTCGCTGCACACATTCGAAACCGGCACGCTTCAGTTTCACCCCGCATCTTGTTATCGCGACACTGTCGGCACTGGCGAATTCAGTAACGAACAAAACAGAGCTTCGTACCAAATCCACGACAGCCATATCCCTCATGCGAAATATTGAAACTGACACAGTCGCACTCCTCTCCGCGCCGCCAGTCGCAGATGCAAGCGGGGCACGGGCTTGGGATTGGTTGGGGATGGCGCAAGAGGTGCTGGTTGCCAGGCATAATGCCAAATGGCGGATTGCATTTGCACGCGATGCGAGCCACGCAAGCAAAACTTCCGCTTTCTGTTTCGCTTCCGCTTCCGCTTTCGCTTTCGCTTCCGCTTCCGATGCGAGGGGAGAGGAGAGTGTTTGCGGGCGGGGGTGAACTTCTGAGTGGGGCGCGAGTGGCGTGGGTGGCGCAGCGCAGACGAGAAGCGCACATTGACTGGCTGGCTGGCTGGCATTTCCCGTGAAGGCTGCCAGCCACCCTGCCATGCTGCCGCTGCAAGGCTTTTCATTGCACCTGCTGAACTCAGCTGGCCCCTTCCCCATTCCGCCTCTTCCCCCGTTCCATTCCCCGCATTCCACGTTCCCCTTTCCCCCGTCACCCTAATCCAACATTTTCCCCATTCCCCTCTTGCGCCGTGTACCTCCTTCCCCCATTCCTTCGTTCCCCCAATTTCTCGGTTGACGTTACCCAAATTGCGCCGGGTCGCGATTCGCGAAGCAGTCAACCCAGCTGGAGGGTGGGTCACTGGGATGGGGGGGCTAGGGACCTTACCTGAGGGCGCCCCTCGATTGCACGGACGGTCTAAAAATCAGGCGATCGTCGCGTGGTCGGCCATTGCTGACAACTGCAGCTGAACGCCAGAAATCGGTAACGACAAGGCCAGCTGAAAGTAAGTTGAAAGGAGAACACGCGGGGCACAGCTCGATGTGAGGCCAGAAGGGACCTAGGAGGAGGGCCAGAGACGCTCTAAATGGGAGACATAGTCACAGTTCAAAATGAGATCGTACTATTCGCTTGACTTGAGCAGTGGTTCTTATCCACGGTAACCTCGTTCCATCTCGATTCCATTTTTCCACGTGCGTACTTCAAACCAAGTCTCTCCACACATTAGCAGTCTGAGACTGTAAGTTCCAGCTCCTCTGTATCGCACAGGCGTAACCTATCTCGCGAAAGAATGCGGGAAGGGCAACAGATGACCAAGCCCCTTACTCGCGAGACGCACGTGAACAGCAGAGTCTTTTAGAAACCGTCGGAGCCTCTTGCGAAAAAGGAGGAGGAAGAAAGCGACGTCCGTCAACGCGTTGATATTTCTCAAACCCTTTCACAGCATTAATTTCGTTGCGCGAATCGCCCACTCGCGTCATGATGGACTGCTACTCGCCTTCTCAGACCGTTCCCAGGTCTTTGAAACCTAACACAGTCAAGCCAATCGCAGCCGAGCTTATTTCCGCGGAGCCAATCACAGTGGACGTTTTCCCCGCGGTGTTTCTCGAGCGCGACTACGAGTTCATGGGGGAAATCGGCAGCGGGCAGTACGGCAAGGTCTGGAAGTGCCGCTCGCGCCTCACCGGCCGGCAGTTCGCCTGCAAGCAGGTCAAGAAGCGGCCGGCGCGGCCGGCACGGTCGGGAAAAGGACAGAAAGCACGGAAGGACTCTGCGCAGCGGAGAACCCGGGAGAAAATCGGCGGGGTATCCGGCGCGGATGACGCGGCTGGTTCAGGAGATGACGTGGACCCGATCGAGCGGGAAATCGCGGCGCTGACTCATTTGGAAGGTTGCGAAGGCGTGACGTCGCTACACGGCGTGTTCGAGGACGCCACGTCGGTTTTCCTCGTTATGGACTTGTGCGATAGTGGCGACCTGTTCTCGCTTATCGCGGACACGGACGGCGTTCCCGAGGACGAATCGCGTCAGCTGTTTGCTGACGTGGCACGGGCAGTGAAAGAATGTCATGACAGGGGCGTGTTGCATCGAGACATAAAACCCGACAACGTCCTCCTTTCTTTGCGCGAGACTACTACAACTGCGGGTAACCCCGAAATTGCGGGGTTGGACTACAACTACCCCTCGCCTGCTAGCAACACCTCCTGGACCTCCGCCGCGCCGTTATTTCACGGTTTCCGCGCCACGACGGCGAACGAACCATTGGCGACTAGCCGGCGGTACGACGTGAAGCTAGCGGATTTCGGCCTGTCCGTGATTCTAACGGGGGGCGCGCGCGTGCGCGGATACGCGGGGAGCTTTCCTTACGAAGCGCCGGAGGTGGTTGGGTTGAGAGAGTACAGTTTCGCAGCGGATATCTGGAGCATGGGCGTGCTTTTGTACGCGTTATTGTCTGCGAACTGGCCCGAGTTCAAAAACAGGCAGGTGCTGAACGAGGAGACGGACTGGACTGGCGCGTCGTGGGATCAAGTGTCGGAGGACGCGAAGGATCTCATCCGTCGGTTGCTGACGGTGGATCAAGATCGACGGCCCACGATCGATGAGGTGCTGAAGCACCCGTGGTTGGCGCCGGCGACTCGCGTTCACCGCTCTGAAAGCGTTGACTCCGTTGACTGCGTTGACCGCGAGAAGGGGACAAAATTGAAACAAAATTCGTCGCTTCTTCCGCCGCTCCTCATCCCCTCGCAATCGCTCGATTCTCGCGATTCGGCCTCCCTCGAGTCTGCTTCGTCCATTCCGTCGGAAGCTTCGTTCCTCTCCGCTCTTGCCGCCACGCCTGCTTCTCTCCCCACGCCAACGGCTACTTTTGCTTGCCGCGGGGCGATGTATCCTGCAAACGAGAGGAGCCACACGATTGGCGCGGTTACGGGAGGATCGGCGGGGATCCGCAGTAACTGCGCGAGCCGCGGGAGTAGTAGCGGTTCGGAGACCCTCCCTGTCAGTGACAATAGCGGGGCGTGCGATGTGCCTGAGGCGTCGTGTGACTGTATCGAGGGGTGCGGACTGAAAGCGCGTAACCCTAAATGTAACCCAAAAAGGACGCATCAACGGCTGAGAAAACGAGGATCCGCGGGAAACGCAGGCGGCGGCGACGAAACGCGTGGACAAATCGCAACTGAGGAGGAAAGGAGGTGCTTTTCGGAACCCAGCGGCGGGAGTCACGGACGACGAGAGGAGAAGGACGCTACTAGCAGCGGAAGCGTCAGGAGGGGGAGCGCCACCGGCGGAAGCGCAACCGGCGCAAGCGCAAGTGAACCCCGTAACAAGGATAATTACGGAAGAGCAGGTTCTCCGTTAGCGCGACGCGGGTCTATCAAAGAGTACGCGGCGCAGGTGGTGTCTAATCTAAGATGGCAGCCGGCCTGCTTCTATTCGACCGCTGAAGCCGTGGTTCCCGAGGCGCCCTGCGACGACACCGCCGCTTCCTCCGCCGCAACTACCGCCGCAACTTCCGTCACTTCTGCCGCGGTGCCTCCCGCTACCGATTTTGGAGGCTCTATAAGTGGAGCCGCGGAAACCCAATCCCAAGCCACTGAGGGTAAGGAGACCGCGCGGATATGGATATTCTACGGGCAATGGAGGCACATCTATCCGCGTTCTTTATGACGAAGCCGACTAAGAAGTGTGTTTGAAAACAAAATGTATATACGAGCTTCACAATTTTGATAATTTGTTTCAACGTTTTAACCACTGCAAAGCAACACCAGCTCAGCTTTTATAGTTGAAGAAACGTTTTTTTTTTTTTTTTTTTTTTTAAGAAGCGAGCAAATTTTCTAATCAGGCTAGACATTATCATTGTATATTCACTGTAGCAACACTAGCGAATGTCACTCATTGTTTTTTTAGCGAAAGTCAGACTTGTCCAAATGCGTGTAGTGGTGTAGTTACAGCAATATGAATGCAATTGTACAACATTACAGTAGCACCGTAGACTCATTTTACAACCATCACTCATCATCTTCCTCTGAAGACTCATCGCTGAAATCACTTTCAAAGTCAGACTCGTCCAAATCAAGCTGTAGAGGGGAGGGGGAGGCAAGGGGGGGGGGGGGGGATGGGGGGCAATGGGGAGTAGTGGGGGAGAAGGGGTGAATCACTCTCAAAGTCAGACTCGTCAAAATCAAGCTGTAGAGGGGAGGGGGGAGGAGGGGAGGAAGATGGAAAGAAATGGGGGAAGTGGGGGAGAATAAAAATCAAGCTGTTGAAGGGGCAATGGAGAGGGCAGGGGTACTGGGGTGGGGGGGAGGATTTCTTTCACAAACAGTTGTCGAAATCAGGCTACACGGGATCACCGTCAAAAACCATGGCTGAATCAGACCGAAAGTGAAACACACACCGCTGACGCATCCAATCCAGCAGTTGTTTCTTTGACTGCATGTACGTGTGCCACTAGAATGGAGGTGACTTTTGAGTCCACTCAAAAGTCACCCCATCCAACAGTTGTTTCTTTGACTGCCTGTCCGTGAATGGGAAAATGTCTCTTACCTGTACATGTGCCACTAGAATCGAGGTGACTTTTGAGTTGACTCAAAAGTTACCCCATCCAACAGTTGTTTCTTTGACTGCATGTATATAAATAAAACAATGTCTCGTACCTGTACATGTGCCACTTGTATTGAGGTGACTCGACTCAAAAGTCACCCCATTCAACTGTCGTTTCTTTGACTGCCTGTTTGTAACTAGGAAAAAGGGCTCGTACCTGTACGTGTGCCACTTGAAACGTGATAGAAGGGTGTCTTTGAGATGTCTCAGAAACAACATCTTCTTTCATCCAACAGTTGTTTCTTTGACTGCTTGTATGCAAATAGGAAAATGGCTCGTACCTGTAGATGTGCCACATGAAACATCCCACCCAACAATTGTTAATTTGACAATTGTTAATTTGACAATTGATATTTTGACAACTGTTAACTTGACAACTGTTGATTTGACAAATGTGCCTGTATGTAAATAGGAAAATGACTCGTACCTGTACGTGTGCCACTTGAAACGTCCCAGGCGCAGCAGGAGCAACAGGAGCAACACTGCACGAGCACACACCACTAACACAGGGGACCCAACCAAAGCCGAATCTGACTCGTACCTGCACGTGTGCCACTTGAAACGTCCCAGGCGCAGCAGGAGCAACAGGAGCAACACTGCACGAGCACACACCACTAACACAGGGGACCCAACCAAAGCCGAATCTGACTCGTACCTGCACGTGTGCCACTTGAAACGTCCCAGGCGCAGCAGGAGCAACAGGAGCAACACTGCACGAGCACACACCACTAACACAGGGGACCCAACCAAAGCCGAATCTGACTCGTACCTGCACGTGTGCCACTTGAAACGTCCCAGGCGCAGCAGGAGCAACAGGAGCAACACTGCACGAGCACACACCACTAACACAGGGGACCCAACCAAAGCCGAATCTGACTCGTACCTGCACGTGTGCCACTTGAAACGTCCCAGGCGCAGCAGGAGCAACAGGAGCAACACTGCACGAGCACACACCACTAACACAGGGGACCCAACCAAAGCCGAATCTGACTCGTACCTGCACGTGTGCCACTTGAAACGTCCCAGGCGCAGCGGGAGCAGCAGGAGCAGCAGGAGCAGCGCGAGCAGCAGGAGCAGCAGAAGCAGGGGGAAAGCCATAACAGCACTCCACTGACACAGGAGACTAACACAGAAGGCACAGCGAACCCAAGGCTGAATCTGGCTCATACCTGCACGTGTGCCACCTGAAACGTCCCCGGCGCAGCAGGGGCAGCAGGAGCAGGGGGTAAGGCCATACCAGCAGCACCACCACCACCACCAGCAGCAGCACCACCCGCCCCTGCTGCTGCTGCCCCAGCTCTTTCCTTTCCTGCCCCTTCTTTCCCTGCCCCTGCCCCCCCCACTGCCACTGCTGGTGCCCGGATAACACCTTCCCCAGGTCCCACCACCATGCCAGCCACAGCAGCAGCAGCGGCAGCAGGCACGCTCGGGGGAGGTACATCTGAGGGAGGTGCACCTGCTGCCACTGGCAGGGGAACAGCAGCGGCGCCTGGTAAGGGGAGGGGTATGGGATCCCCCGGTTTCCACCCTGCAGGCATGGTGGGTAGGGCAGGGATGGGTACAGCTGCAGGTAAACCAGACGCCCCTGCCCCTGCTGCTGCCCCTGCTGCTGCTGCTGCTGCTGCTGCTGCTGCTGCTGCTGCAGCACCAGGGGCAGTAGGAGCAGCAGAAGGAGTGGCAGCAGCAGCGGTGGGGAAGGTGGGGAGAGGGTCTCCTGGTTTCCACCCCGGAGGTGGGGGAGGGAGAGGGAGCGGATCTCCCGGTTTCCACCCAGCAGGCATAGGTAGCGGTACCCCTGCTGCTGCTCCCCCTGCTGCTGCTGCTGCTGCTCCTGCTGCAGCGGCAGCAGCGACAGCGGCGGCGGCGGCGGCAGCGGCAAGGTCTGGGAATGAAGGGAGGGGGTCCCCAGGTTTCCACCCTGGAGGAGGGGGAGGTAAGCCCATTGGCACCCCTTTTCCAGCCCCTCCTGCTCCTGCCGCCGCAGCTGCCGCTGCTGCTGCTGCCGCTGCTGCAGCGGCAAAATCAGCCTCCCCTGATTTGCCTGTCACCTTTCCAGCCGCAGCAGCAGCAGCAGCAGCAGCAGCAGTGGGAGTGGGCCGAGGGCTAGTATGCCCTGATTCCCCTCCCTCCACCCCACCAACCACACTCCTCCTCTCCTTCCCACTCTCCTTTCCCCTCTCCTTTTCCCTCGTCTTTTCCTTCCGGATAATCCCAAGGGCCTTCTCATCTGTACAGTGGTACAGTAGAGACATCCTAAGCTGCTCATCCTGTGGCGCAGGGGGGAGGGCAGCGAGGAGAGGTGCACCTAGGGCGTGTTCGGGAGGTGCGAAGGTCGTGTAGCTGATGCGATGCGCGAATGCGATGAGTTGGCGAACTGAAACTGGTGCCACTTCGTCCCAGCCCAAAGGTTGGAAAGATTCTGGGTTTTGCTGCTGTTGCTGCTTCTGTTTCTTTTGTCGCTGGAGAGACGGAGAGCGAGAGACTGGTGCCACTTCGTCCCATCCCAACGGTTGGAAAGATTCTGGGTTTTGCTGCTGCTGCTGTTGCTGCTGCTGCTGCTGCTGCTGCTGTTTCTTTCGTTGTAGGAGAGAGGGAGAGCGAGAGCGCGAGAGAGAGCGAGAACGAGAGCGAGAGTGAGAGCGAGGAGAATGAGAGGGAGAACGGGAGCCAGAAACTTTTTGTTTCTTTTGTTGTTGAAGAGAAGGAGAGCGAGAACGAGAATGGGAGCGAGAGCGAGAACGAGAACGAGAGCGCGAGAGAGAGCGAGAGCGAGAAGGAGAAGAAGAGGCAGACCCTTTTTGTTTCTCTCTCTTTTTTTTCTCCTTTGCTCCTTCCCCAGCCTTCTCTCCCGGACCCCCCTCCTCCTGCTTCCTCTTCCCCACCACCCCGCTTCCTCCTACCACCCCCCTCTCCTCCTCCCCTCCCTCCCTCAACCCCTCTTTCCCCTTCCAAGATCCCCCCTGCGTGCCTCCTCTGCCCCCCTCTACTAGCAACTTAAAGCCCTTGTGTTCGTCTAGCACAGCCAGAAGAAGTTGCTCTGCTTCCCTCGCCCTGCGTCCAAACTCCCTTAAAGCCACATTGGTGCGACCCAGTTCCTCTCTCATCTTTGCTTTTCCCTCTTCACCTCTCTCCTCCCCTGTCTTGTGCTCCTCCATTCTCGCCTTGCCTTGCCACCCTGCAGGACAATAAGAGGGGCGGACGTGGAGGCGGAGCGGCAATGGGAAGGGCAAAACGGAAGGGCCTCGTTGGTTCGCCGGAGCTCCTCTCTCGTCTTTGCTTTTCTCTCTTCACCTCTCTGCTCCTCATTGTGCCCTTCCATGCTCGCCTTGCCACCCTGGAGGGCAGTAAGAGGGACGGAGGGGGAGGAGGGGCGGCAATGGGAAGAACAAAAACCGGAAAATTTGGGCAAGATGGGAGAGCCAAACGGTTTGAAAGGGAACGCGGATTTTGGCTTGGGAATAACTTGGGAAGGGACTCATGCCCCTACTCAAGCTGACCAGCATACTTACCCAGAGTGGAAAACAGCACGTTGACGGGAGGACGAAACTTCCGATTCAGACTGTTTCCGTTTCACGCCTCATCCGTCGAGACATTGATTCAAACACTAGAAGCGGCTTTCGTCGAGTTCCTGTTTCAGCCTTAATTAAAGCACCAGGAACGACTCTCCGAATCAGGCGACTTTCGTTTCAGGCCCCTTCCGCTTCGAGCCCCTGTTTGATCCGAAAACACACTTGTTCGAAAGTCAATTTTTGCTTCGGACACCCTATTCGTCTCTGTGATAATAGCGGGAGGTGCCACCCTTTTCCTGAGGCGCCGTGTGAATGTATGAAAGGGGTGCGGCTGAAATGGCGTAACCCTAAAAAACATGTAACCGGGCTAGTCGCCGCAAGTTTCAGCGGTTTGCCCGCAGACGCACCTCCAGCTACCGATAAGGGGCCGCTATACCAGTATTAAAGTGGAACCCTAAAAATCGAAATTCAAACAGGTTGCGGATGCAGTTTCCTTGAGGTGATAACGCGCACCTTTCGGCGATAGTTACGGCTAGGCGGCGAGCTATTGAGTGTGTGTTGGTTACAATGTCGCGCGTTTTTACGCGTTATTATTCTACTCATTTTTGCATCGCAGAATTTATATAACCTAGTCTGTGGTAGTTTTTTCCTGTCTCCCTCTGCATATTGATTGTCAAACCAATCAAGAACAGCAGAACTTAACACAATTGAGAACAAAACAGAGCAAAACATGAGAATATAATGACCTAAGTGAGAGCACAGTAAGCATGACTACCACATTCCCAGCATCATATAATGAACATGGAGGTAAAACACCTTGAATGAATGCAATTTTCTGTGACCTCCAGCTCACGAGTCAGGAGCATACTCCCGTACAGACTGCCGCCTAGTACCGTACTCTGTCACTAAGTTTCTTCCGCTCCCCCTTCCTGCTCCTGCTTTAGTTTCTGCACTTGTGCTTGTCCAACACTACCACTCCTCATTGCTGCTATTGCTATTACACCACCTGCACCCTCGGGCTTATTTCGAGTCTGCTTATGATGAGGTGCCTCAAAACAGCATGTATGCTCATGCTTATTGTGAAACCCTTAAAGCCGTTACTCGGTGCAAGCTTGAACTTGCACCCTCTTCTCAGGTACCTGTACCTGTACCAAGGGTTTAGAGCGTCACAGACAATGCTGCGTGAAACTGAAGTGTTTTTTGAGACATCTCAAAAACACTTGCACCCTCTTCTCAGGTACCTGTACCTGTACCAAGGGTTTCGAGGGTCACGATAATGCTGCTTGTGCTTTATGCACCACTGCCAACCAAGCATGACCACGCTGTACCACTTATGGAGTCCTGCCCTTCCCTTCCCACCCTCCCCTTACCATTGCTCCACTGCTCCTGTCCTCCTCTCCACTGCTCTGCCGTGCTCCGCTGCCCCTCTGCTCCGCCCCTACTGCTGATGCCCCTCCACTGTCACCCTCCGCTACTGATGTGTTCAGAAAGTCATTTCAATGTCACCCTGCTCCCTTGCTCCTCTGCTCCGCCCCTACTGCTGATGCCCCTCCACTGTCACCTTCTGCTACTGATGTGTTCAGAGAGTCATTGCAATCCTCGCTCAAGACGCAAATCTGGGCCATACGCAGGCAAGACCACACAACCGTATTGAACCCACTTGTTCTACCTCCCACCTGCTCCAACCCCTGACCAGAGCAGCAGCAGTAGCATCAGTATGCAGAGCGCTGATACCAGCTCTCTGCCACTCAAACCCATGAGCACCCCTCAGTACCCCTACCTAATCATTCGGAGGAGGAAGGGACGGAGAACTGCTTGCTTGTTGTGCCGACCCCCCTGCCCCACACCATGACAGCAGCAGCAGTATCAGGAGAAAAATCCCTACTATTGCCACAAGCGCTGTTACTAGCTCTCTGCCATTCAAACCCATCAGCACCACTGTTCCTCCCTCACCCTCCTCCTCCCCATCCCCTTCCCCCTTGCCGCGAGCTTTCGATCTCGACCGTCGCTTCTTCCGGTGCAGCGACAGCTGCCAGCCAAACACCAGCCGTTGATTCTCGCCTGCGTCGTCATCATGAGCGGATCCCTGCCGTTGATCTTCGTCCTCGTCTTCCTCTGCTAGTCGCTGAGCCGGCCAATGGGCGTTCATTTGAGCGACCTGGCTGTTGTTTAATTGCAATAGACCCTGGGAGGCGCGAAGTGGAAAGAGGACCATGGGAGGAGAAATTGGTAAGGAACGAGTGTGTGAACAATAGGGGGAGGAGTAGAGAAAAGATGGATGAGGTGGAACAGCAAATATATGTTTATATTTTATGTATATATGTATATATGTATGTATGTATATATGTTTATATGTATATATGTATATATGTATATACGTATATATGTGTGTGTATATATATGTATATATATATATATATTTTTTTTTAAACATAAATATTCTTACCAGTTCCATTTCGGCCATGTCCATACGTCCGTCGAGCAACAGCCTTCCAGAGCCCATCTTCTCCTTCTCGCCAGCACCTGCTCCCCCTCCTGCCCCCACTCCTGCTGCCCCACCCTCCCCGGGTCTCTGTATCTGTTTCAGCCAGTAAACCAGACACTGCCACGACGGCTGTTGCTGCTGCTGCCGCCGCCACCGCCGCTGCTGCTGCTGCCCCCACCAACCGCCCCTGCTGCCACTGCTACACCCGCCCTTGCCGCCCGTTTCCGGGCCAAATCCGCTGGCGCTGCCACCTCCCCCGGTTGCGCCTCCCCCGAATAGAGGCGCGTGCTCCGAATCGGAGTGCTCACGACCCAATCGTGACCCGCCCAGCTGCGATTGGCTCGAATGTGACCCGCCTAACTCACCACCAAATGCTCGTGACGTCTCAAACGCCCCAGGGGACCCGTTATTAGCAAATGCGCTAAGGCTGGCGATATCCTCGTCTTCGTCACTGAGTGAAACCCTAATCGCTTCCTGACGGACCCGCAGCCAATTGTCGGATGCCACGTCAGCATCGCCACTGCCGTCTACGGCCCTGGTTGGGCTCCCGGCAATCCAACGGCTAAAAGAGGACACGGCGGAGGCGGAGGAGGAAAAGGCGGCTACCGCTGCGCCTGCTGCTGCGCCTGCCGCTGCGCCAGCTGCCGCCGCTGCGGCTCCTGCCGCTGCGCCTGCTGCCGCGCCTGCCGCCGCCGCTGCTGCGGCCACTGCACCAGCAGCACCTGCTGATTCTACAATGTCCAACTCAGCAGAATGGGAACCTGCTGTAGGAGGGGGAGACGACGAGCTCGCTAGCACTGCGGGCGCGGAACCTACGGCTGAAACTCTGGCTGAATTTCGGTAAACATCCTTGGTGTTATCCCCGTTATTGTCCGCCCCACTACAGGTGCTAGTTGCGCCACTGACGCTGCTGCTGCCGCTGCTGACAGTCGTGAAACTGCTACTGCTGCCGCCGCTGCTGCTTCTAGAAGCAGCGACACGTGGCGGCGTGAGAAACGCCGCAAGGCGGCTGTCCAATGAGAGGTCGATGCCGCTGCCGCTGCTTACGTCAGTGGCACGGAAAGACGACGGAGGGGTTGGGAAGACGAGAGCAGGGTTACCATTTGTTCCGATAGGAGTAACTGCTTCTGCTGCTGCTGCTGCTGCTGCTGGACGCGTTAAAAGCGGCCGCTGCCAAACCGGACGGAAAAGCGACTGTTATCCCGCCGGAATCAACGCCGCTAACCGCGCTACTGCTTCCGACCGAAGACCCGGAGGCGACGGCGGCCTTTGCGGTGGGCGAGGCGGCGCCGATCGCGGGGCGGATGATGTCCTGCACCTGCTGCAGCTGCGCGCGAATCGCGGAGACGAACTGGCGGCGCCGCTCGCGCGTCTCGTTCACGGCGGACGGCGCCTGGCCTAGCGCCTCGGCGCGCCACTCGTCGTCTCGCGCCGCGCGCTCGAAGGCTTCGAGCTGCCAGCGGAGCGTGTCGCACGCGCAGAGCATCACGAGTCGCACTCCTTCCTCGTCGACTTGCTGATCAAAGGTCACAACCACCACGTCCTCGTCGTCCCCGGACCGCACAGGCCATATGGAGTCGCCGTCGTTGTCGTTTTCTGGGTGCGTTTGCCACGTGGCGGGTTCGTCTCCGCATTCCCGACGCTGAAGGAGCAGCTGCCATTGGTGGAAACTCGACTGCAGCCTGAAAAGTAGTGAAGATAGATAATGAGAAGAAGAAAAAGTGATGCGCCTACAAAAGGGAAACTGGCCCTAGGATTTCAGAATTACGATAAGAATTAAAGGTACGGGAGGGCAGCGAAAAAAACCGATACAGGCATAAAGGTCAGAGGGTTGCGACATCTAGGATAGACCTAGGTATATAAGAAAAATACTTGAAAAACCAAGGGCATGCGCGGGGCGGCTGGCCGCGGAACGAGGTAAGTCGACCGTGAACAAAATTCGGATAGATTTGCGAGGAAGACGCGATCACGAATCGCGAAACCATTGCAAGTCGCTATCAGGAATGGCTGCGGAGTTGCGGAGGCGCCGAAAGATACGAAGTAAAAGCCGACCGACGGAAAGAGGGAGAGAAGGAGAGTAAGCGGACCTGTCTGCCGAGTCTTGCACCTCCTCAGCCGCTAGGAAGAGCGGGTCGGCCTGCCACGTGTACAACGTGGCGACTACCATTACTTAACGTATGCACAGGAATACTCGCGATTCAGGTAGTAAAAACGACCAATTCTGCACGAAGATAATCGCTCTACTGTGATTCTGTACCTTCTAGACTGTAACTGAACCTAACGGTTGACTAGACCTGCTTTGGCCAACTGGCTTACGTCAGCGATCGAAGAAACTCTAATCGAAGGAATTCTGAAACCTGTCTCGCTGGCACCTCGGGAAGATCGAGCATGGAATTGATTAGAAGCCCAGGGATGTGCGAGCAGCATCGAAGTTTACAAGAACAAGGGGAGCTGCTTCATTGAAGTTGACTAGTTTCGGCTCGGGTCTGACAGGATCAAGCTGCACCTGCAGCATTGAAGTTGATGAGAGGAGAGAGAGACGAGACAGATGAGCAAGACCCAATGGTGAGGCAGGACGGGAAGAAGCGGTGAGTGTGTTGTGTGTGAGTGGAAGCAGCACCAGCCGAGTTCGGTTGACTAGGCGGAAGACCAGAGAGAGTGGGGGTGACTCGGCTCAGGGGGGAGACTCGGTTCGGGGGAGTGTGAGGGAGACACAACGAGACAGGACAGCGGGGCATATGGGTTTCTGTTCATTGGTGGGCGGTCTCGAGGCGCTGCGGCGCCGAACCGAACCCGGTGGCTCAAGGCTGGCTGGGCTTCGTTCCACTTTCTTGATGGTGGTTGGGGGGTGGATGGCTGGGTGGTGGGGCAGCTCCGGTTTGGGTTTGGGAAGGGGTGGCAGGCTAGATTGTCGGGTTTGGGGAAGTGGGGCGGAAAGGACTGAGGGTTTTGGTTCGTCCAGCGCCTTGGAACGCGTCAGCCGTGCAGAGCGGAGGCGGAAGAAGCCCCGCCGACGCGCTGCTGTATACGGTACACCATTGAACGCTGCCGGAAAGTCGAAATTGTACGTGTAGGTTGGAGGAAGAAAACGGTGGTCGTTTGTTGCTTTCTAAGTTCGGCTGGGTTCGAACATGGTCGGGAAGGAGCAGGTCCGAGCCACTTGCGGTTGGTGAAAGGTCAAATCACGGCGACAGAAAAAGACACATCGGGCAGGGATATGGATGATGGGCAGATGTCGGGGAAACCGATTTGGTTCCCAGGCATAGCCACAACGACGATCGAGGCGCAGGAGCTGTTCATGGCGCCCCCCGCCATGCCCGGCCTAGTTTGGGTTCAAGGCTCGGCAGAAATGGTAGGGTGGCTCGGCAGCATAGCAAGCTCGTTTGCCCCACAAGCCTCCATCTGGCAGACTTCGACGATTCGTTTTTTCACGCTGGCACTGTCACAACAGTCATAGCCGTCAATCGCAGCTGACGTATTGGAGCTGGGGTCTTGGCTGCGTCGAGTGCTCAGGCCCCACTCTGACGGTTGACCTGCGAATCTGACGTCGCCGTCAGAGTCCGCGGTGAATTAGCACGGCATGCAGCCAGTTGGCAGTTACAGCCACATCGATCTTTCTTGCGGGCAGGGTCTTCCAAATGTTTCCGAGGCCCACCCCTGCCAGCAACACCCACAGTGCAGGAAACCTAGTTAGGCGAGCTGTGATTGGTGCCTGACAATCCACGGGCGTCGGATACAGTGCGACCGACATCCAGCACCGGCCACGTTGAATCACAGCTGGACTCGACGTCTCCACGACCAGAAAGTGCGTGACTCGAAACCTGGTTTCGATATAAGGACATTACAGCGCAGGATGTCTGGCCATTCATACTTCGCGGCCAGTCAACGTGAAATTTCGCTTGAAGCAACTCAATTGCCTTCACAAATCCCAAGCTCCTTCCAGAAAACAGCGCACACACACTTTCTCTCACACATAAAATTTGAATGAAAAAATACACACATAACCCCACTGGATCATACTATGACGACCCTCTACGTGAACGAGTTTTATCAAGCTCACCCACCTCTTCCCTTGCCACATCTCCACTCCAAGCACCACTATCATCAGTCCATGAGCTGTCATACGCACCCTCGAGCAAATAATCCCGAGGGAATGGACTGCGACTTGATCCTTCCCCGTCCCTTTTACTACCGTATATTGTGCCCAAACCATGTGTTTGTGTGTGCTCACCACGTTCTTGGTTATGTTGTGAAATTACACCCTCTCGGCTGTAGTGCTGGCTGTGACTCTCTCCACTTTGGCCAATATCAAGTGTGTGGCTCCCAGTGTGGTTCTCCCGAACCTCATCCCTAGGTTCGGCAGAGGCTCTAGCGTGTGGTAGCGGCTGTAGGGTTGCAGGAGAGTGTGCTGTGTGGTGGGTGCTCCGAGTGGTGGAGGAGAGGGAGTGCGAGAGGGAGTGTGAGAGAGAGTGTGAGAGTGTGAGGAGAGGGGAGATTCCTGCGAGTGGCCGGTCAGCTGGTTTGCTTTGTGAGGGCCAGGGCTGTGGTAGCAATGTGGTTGACTCGGTTGACTTTTGAGTTGACTCAGAAGTTATTCCTGCAGGTGGCTGGTTGTCTGGTTGGCTCTGTGAGTGTCGGAACTGTGAAGGCAATGTGGTTGACTCGGTTGACTTGGTTGACTCGGTTGACTTGGTTGACTCAAGCTCGGACTCGCCAGAAGACAATGCCAGGTCACCACTGCGACACACAGAGGGGAGGAAGGGTAGGCCACAGGAAGGGGGACGAGGAGAGGGACGAATATGAAGCACTGTGTGAGTGACAGGGCTGTAAGAGCAATGTGGTTGACTTGGTTGACTGTTGAGTCGACTCAAAAGCAATATCAAGCGCTGCATGAACGACAGGGCTGTAAGACAATGTGGTTGACTTGGTTGACTGTTGAGTCGACTCAAAAGCAATATCAAGCGCTGCATGAACGACAGGGCTGTAAGACAATGTGGTTGACTTGGTTGACTCGAGGTCAGACTCGCAAGAAGACAATGCCAGGACCCCACTGGAATACACAGAGGGGAGGAAGGGGTAGAAGGAGAAGAGGGAATTGATTCCAAAGGTGCCTCTGGCACTGGCGGCAACAGTGTGTGATAAGTCGACTAAAAAATCGACTTTGGAGTCGACTCTAAATTCGACTTATTACACAAGGGGGACAAGGAGAAGGGCGAGTTGGTTCTTGAAGTGCCTCTGGCAAAAAACACAAAACATAGGCGGCAACAGCGCAAAACCCTGGCCACAACGAGGTAACTTTTGAGTCGACTCAAAAGTCACCTGGGGACAAGGAGAAGGGCGAGTTGGTTCCCCAGATGCCTCTGGCTTGGGGTGTCTCTGGCACTGGCGGCAACAGTGTAAAACCCTGGCCACAACGAGGTGACTTTTGAGTCGACTCTAAATTCGACTTATTACACAAGGTGGACAAGGAGAAGGGCGAGTTGGTTCCCCGGATGCCTCTGGCTTGAGGTGTGTCTGGCACTGGCGGCAACAGTGTAATTCCTTGGGAACAACACACCCTCCTATTTCCCCTCACCTGTAGTCTCGGCAGCAGGGCAAAAGCAACCCCCCCGGCCCCACTCATGCCAGCCAACCCAACACGTCACACATCCTACATCTACTCACCTGTAGTCCAGCCCTTGCACTGTCATCCTTAAAAGTCTCAGCATTGCAGCTCATTCTGTCTCTGGCAAAGGCGGCAGCAGGGCAAAAGCAACCCCCCCCTGCCCCACTCCCCTGCAACAAACCCTCTCCCCCATACGCCTTACAGCACTCAGAGCACCAATATGCACTTCCTCACCTCTAGTCCAGCCCTTGCACGGTCATTCTCAATAATCTCGGCATGGCTGCTCGTTCCGCCTCTGGCACGGGCGGCAGCAGGGAAAAGCAGCTCCCCCTGCTCCCCCAGCAAGCCTCCCCCATCCCCACCCTTCCATACACCTTACCCCACTCAAAGCGCCTGTTCGTTCCTCCTCAACTGTAGTCCAGCCCTTGAACAGTCATCCTCAATATCTCGGCATGGCCGCCCGTTCTGCCTCTGGCACGGGCGGCAGCAGGGGATGGTATATCTGGGGAGGATAAGTGGGGCTGCTAGCAGCTCTCACCCTCTCACCTGTAGTCCAGCCCTTGCACTGTCATCTCAACCCTAGGCACCACCCACCCTCCGTGTGGGCGAGAGGGCGGCAGCAGGGGAAATGCAACCCCCCCTGCCCCACTCATGCCAACTTTACACACCACGCACCCTATTTTCTCACCTGTAGTCCAGCCCTTGCACGGTCATTCTCAACAGTCTCGGCATGGCTGCCCGTTCTGCCTCTGGCACGGGCGGCAGCAGGGGGAACCCTACCCCCCCTGCGCCACTCCCAGCAAGCTCTCCCCATACACCATATCCCACACAGAAAACCAATGCGTTCCTCCTCACCTGTAGTCCAGCCCTTGCACGGTCATTCTCAACAGTCTCGGCATGGCTGCCCGTTCTGCCTCTGGCACGGGCGGCAGCAGGGGGAACCCTACCCCCCCTGCGCCACTCCCAGCAAGCTCTCCCCATACACCATATCCCACACAGAAAACCAATGCGTTCCTCCTCACCTGTAGTCCAGCCCTTGCACGGTCATTCTCAACAGTCTCGGCATGGCTGCCCGTTCTGCCTCTGGCACGGGCGGCAGCAGGGGGAACCCTACCCCCCCTGCGCCACTCCCAGCAAGCTCTCCCCATACACCATATCCCACACAGAAAACCAATGCGTTCCTCCTCACCTGTAGTCCAGCCCTTGCACGGTCATTCTCAACAGTCTCGGCATGGCTGCCCGTTCTGCCTCTGGCACGGGCGGCAGCAGGGGGAACCCTACCCCCCCTGCGCCACTCCCAGCAAGCTCTCCCCATACACCATATCCCACACAGAAAACCAATGCGTTCCTCCTCACCTGTAGTCCAGCCCTTGCACGGTCATTCTCAACAGTCTCGGCATGGCTGCCCGTTCTGCCTCTGGCACGGGCGGCAGCAGGGGGAACCCTACCCTCCCTGCGCCACTCCCAGCAAGCTCTCCCCATACACCATATCCCACACAGAAAACCAATGCGTTCCTCCTCACCTGTAGTCCAGCCCTTGCACGGTCATTCTCAACAGTCTCGGCATGGCTGCCCGTTCTGCCTCTGGCACGGGCGGCAGCAGGGGGAACCCTACCCCCCCTGCGCCACTCCCAGCAAGCTCTCCCCATACACCATATCCCACACAGAAAACCAATGCGTTCCTCCTCACCTGTAGTCCAGCCCTTGCACGGTCATTCTCAACAGTCTCGGCATGGCTGCCCGTTCTGCCTCTGGCACGGGCGGCAGCAGGGGGAACCCTACCCCCCCTGCGCCACTCCCAGCAAGCTCTCCCCATACACCATATCCCACACAGAAAACCAATGCGTTCCTCCTCACCTGTAGTCCAGCCCTTGCACGGTCATTCTCAACAGTCTCGGCATGGCTGCCCGTTCTGCCTCTGGCACGGGCGGCAGCAGGGGGAACCCTACCCCCCCTGCGCCACTCCCAGCAAGCTCTCCCCATACACCATATCCCACACAGAAAACCAATGCGTTCCTCCTCACCTGTAGTCCAGCCCTTGCACGGTCATTCTCAACAGTCTCGGCATGGCTGCCCGTTCTGCCTCTGGCACGGGCGGCAGCAGGGGGAACCCTACCCCCCCTGCGCCACTCCCAGCAAGCTCTCCCCATACACCATATCCCACACAGAAAACCAATGCGTTCCTCCTCACCTGTAGTCCAGCCCTTGCACGGTCATTCTCAACAGTCTCGGCATGGCTGCCCGTTCTGCCTCTGGCACGGGCGGCAGCAGGGGGAACCCTACCCTCCCTGCGCCACTCCCAGCAAGCTCTCCCCATACACCATATCCCACACAGAAAACCAATGCGTTCCTCCTCACCTGTAGTCCAGCCCTTGCACGGTCATTCTCAACAGTCTCGGCATGGCTGCCCGTTCTGCCTCTGGCACGGGCGGCAGCAGGGGGAACCCTACCCCCCCTGCGCCACTCCCAGCAAGCTCTCCCCATACACCATATCCCACACAGAAAACCAATGCGTTCCTCCTCACCTGTAGTCCAGCCCTTGCACGGTCATTCTCAACAGTCTCGGCATGGCTGCCCGTTCTGCCTCTGGCACGGGCGGCAGCAGGGGGAACCCTACCCCCCCTGCGCCACTCCCAGCAAGCTCTCCCCATACACCATATCCCACACAGAAAACCAATGCGTTCCTCCTCACCTGTAGTCCAGCCCTTGCACGGTCATTCTCAACAGTCTCGGCATGGCTGCCCGTTCTGCCTCTGGCACGGGCGGCAGCAGGGGGAACCCTACCCCCCCTGCGCCACTCCCAGCAAGCTCTCCCCATACACCATATCCCACACAGAAAACCAATGCGTTCCTCCTCACCTGTAGTCCAGCCCTTGCACGGTCATTCTCAACAGTCTCGGCATGGCTGCCCGTTCTGCCTCTGGCACGGGCGGCAGCAGGGGGAACCCTACCCCCCCTGCGCCACTCCCAGCAAGCTCTCCCCATACACCATATCCCACACAGAAAACCAATGCGTTCCTCCTCACCTGTAGTCCAGCCCTTGCACGGTCATTCTCAACAGTCTCGGCATGGCTGCCCGTTCTGCCTCTGGCACGGGCGGCAGCAGGGGGAACCCTACCCCCCCTGCGCCACTCCCAGCAAGCTCTCCCCATACACCATATCCCACACAGAAAACCAATGCGTTCCTCCTCACCTGTAGTCCAGCCCTTGCACGGTCATTCTCAACAGTCTCGGCATGGCTGCCCGTTCTGCCTCTGGCACGGGCGGCAGCAGGGGGAACCCTACCCCCCCTGCGCCACTCCCAGCAAGCTCTCCCCATACACCATATCCCACACAGAAAACCAATGCGTTCCTCCTCACCTGTAGTCCAGCCCTTGCACGGTCATTCTCAACAGTCTCGGCATGGCTGCCCGTTCTGCCTCTGGCACGGGCGGCAGCAGGGGGAACCCTACCCCCCCTGCGCCACTCCCAGCAAGCTCTCCCCATACACCATATCCCACACAGAAAACCAATGCGTTCCTCCTCACCTGTAGTCCAGCCCTTGCACGGTCATTCTCAACAGTCTCGGCATGGCTGCCCGTTCTGCCTCTGGCACGGGCGGCAGCAGGGGGAACCCTACCCCCCCTGCGCCACTCCCAGCAAGCTCTCCCCATACACCATATCCCACACAGAAAACCAATGCGTTCCTCCTCACCTGTAGTCCAGCCCTTGCACGGTCATTCTCAACAGTCTCGGCATGGCTGCCCGTTCTGCCTCTGGCACGGGCGGCAGCAGGGGGAACCCTACCCCCCCTGCGCCACTCCCAGCAAGCTCTCCCCATACACCATATCCCACACAGAAAACCAATGCGTTCCTCCTCACCTGTAGTCCAGCCCTTGCACGGTCATTCTCAACAGTCTCGGCATGGCTGCCCGTTCTGCCTCTGGCACGGGCGGCAGCAGGGGGAACCCTACCCCCCCTGCGCCACTCCCAGCAAGCTCTCCCCATACACCATATCCCACACAGAAAACCAATGCGTTCCTCCTCACCTGTAGTCCAGCCCTTGCACGGTCATTCTCAACAGTCTCGGCATGGCTGCCCGTTCTGCCTCTGGCACGGGCGGCAGCAGGGGGAACCCTACCCCCCCTGCGCCACTCCCAGCAAGCTCTCCCCATACACCATATCCCACACAGAAAACCAATGCGTTCCTCCTCACCTGTAGTCCAGCCCTTGCACGGTCATTCTCAACAGTCTCGGCATGGCTGCCCGTTCTGCCTCTGGCACGGGCGGCAGCAGGGGGAACCCTACCCCCCCTGCGCCACTCCCAGCAAGCTCTCCCCATACACCATATCCCACACAGAAAACCAATGCGTTCCTCCTCACCTGTAGTCCAGCCCTTGCACGGTCATTCTCAACAGTCTCGGCATGGCTGCCCGTTCTGCCTCTGGCACGGGCGGCAGCAGGGGGAACCCTACCCCCCCTGCGCCACTCCCAGCAAGCTCTCCCCATACACCATATCCCACACAGAAAACCAATGCGTTCCTCCTCACCTGTAGTCCAGCCCTTGCACGGTCATTCTCAACAGTCTCGGCATGGCTGCCCGTTCTGCCTCTGGCACGGGCGGCAGCAGGGGGAACCCTACCCCCCCTGCGCCACTCCCAGCAAGCTCTCCCCATACACCATATCCCACACAGAAAACCAATGCGTTCCTCCTCACCTGTAGTCCAGCCCTTGCACGGTCATTCTCAACAGTCTCGGCATGGCTGCCCGTTCTGCCTCTGGCACGGGCGGCAGCAGGGGGAACCCTACCCCCCCTGCGCCACTCCCCTCGCCCCCCCTCGTACTCTCCCCTCCCCCCGGGTTTTCAAACCCCTCTTCTGCTGATAAGTAAGAAGCAGGGGAGGCGGCAGCTGGGGAAGGTATATCTGGGGAGGGGTAGTGGGGCGGTGGGAAGGAGGGATGGTGGAGTCTGGGGGTGTGGTGAGGGGAGGCGAGGGAGGAGGAGCGAGAGGGGGAGTGAGAGGGGGAGTGGGTGAGGGAGTGAGAGAGGGAGTGGGAGCGGGGGTGGGAGGGGAAGTGTGGGGGTTGAGGGGAGGAGTAGGGGGAGGGATGGGAGGGGCGGAGACGGGAGGGATGGGTGTGAGGGTGAGGTAGTGAGGCGAGGGAGGAGAGCTGGGGGGTGCGCGTGGGAGGACGAGTGGGGGAGGAGTGAGTGGAGGAGGAGTGAGAAGGGGAGAGGAGGGATCGGGTGGGGGTGGAGGTGAAGGGGGTCTGATGAGGGTGATGCGCACGGGAGGGAGAGGAGGATGAAGCGGAGGAGGAGGAAGTGGAGGATGAGGTTGAAGCAGAAGTGGTGGCAGAGGCAGTTCCAGTTGGTGTGGAGCCGGATTTGCTGGGGCCAATGGGAGAGCAAGGAGGGGTGGAAAGGGAGAGTACGGGGAAAGGTATGGAAGAAGGGTGTTGAGACGGGGGAGGGGGAGGAAGACGTGAGGGGTGGGATGAAAATGCATTTATATTAATGGCCAAGTAGACTTTTGGAATGCTTGGAAGAATGGTTACGATGGTATTCACATGCAATACGGACCCCTTTCTTTGGGGATGGGGGGGGGAAGGGGAGATTGACATGATTTGCCATGCCATGTGAGACTGCTTACCATGCTGCCATGGAATCTTCAGACTGAATCTGCCGCAACAGCTGCAAAAGGGGATGGAGGACATCGATTGAAAGGGGAGAACTATTCATCAAGGCTTGACATGTCGCACAATTGTTTTTGAGAATTCTCAAAAACACCCTGCAGCATCATGTCACACACAATTACGCTGGCAGCTGACTCGTAGCCGGCCTTCAAAATTGAAAATCTCAACAGCTCTACACACGCACTCGTTCTCTTCTAACTCGGATGTGTGTTGCTGTTTGAAGCTGGAAGGGACCCATGGCCGGTCCCTTCCAGCTTCAAACAGCAACACACATCCGAGCCACCGCAGCCACCCCTTTGAGCCAACTTGAAAGGCATATTCTATGCTAGGCTCCACAAAAGCAATCCCTAAAACTCACCTCCACCACCACTTGACTCATAGCCGGTCTTTTCCCAGCATCAGCAGCAACACACATCCCAGCCACGACAGCAACCCTTGTACACACACACAGCCACAACAAGACACACTGTTACACACTCACCTCCACTACTCGACTCATAACCGGCCGGTTCCCAGCATCAACCGCAACATACATCTCACCTCAGCAGCCATCCAATCACAACAGGGCGCACACAAAAAATCCCACACATAGACAGTACAACTCACCTCCACCACTTGACTCATGGCCGGCCGTTTCCCAGCCTCAACCGCAACACACATCCCAGCCACCACAGCCATCCGAACCAGGCTCCCCTCGTCGAACCTCCCCTCCAGCAACGGATCGGCGAGCTGCCGAACCTGCAGCCGAGGCTTGGCAAGCAGCGGCCTGGCCCACTGCACGAGGCTCCCCACACCTCCAGGCTCGGCCCGGACCACAGGTTTACGTCCGGTGAGAAGCTCCAGGAGGATTACGCCGAAGCTGTATACATCACTTTTGAGACTGTAACTCCCTGTGAGTGTGTATTCTGGAGCCATATAGCCGAACGTGCCCACCAAATGTCCTGATACCATTTGTGCTGATACCCTTTGTTCTGATATCATTCCCCTCCGCTCGAATATCTCCTCTGATACCCTTTTCCTCCGCCCGACCACGCCTCCTCCTCTCCTTCCCATCAACCATCCCCTCTCACCCTCCCCGCTCTCCTCCCCTTCCTCTTGCCAACCTCCTTTCCCCCCCTCTTCTCCCTCTCTCTCCCTGCCCTCCCCCTCCCCCTCCCCCTCCCCCTCCATGCTCTCACTTCCCCCATCCCCTCTCCTGCCTTCTCCCCTCCCTTCCACCACAGCGCTACCCAACCCCTTCTCCTGTCCAACTCCCACCGTCCTAGCCAGGCCAAAATCAGCAATCTTAGGCACAAAATCCCTATCAATCAGCACATTGGCAGATTTCAGGTCTCGGTGGATAATCGAAGGGGATGCATCCTCGTGTAAATACCGCAAGCCCTGGGCGATCCCCAGTGCTATTTTGAGCCTCTGAGGCCAGTCTAAGGGGGACAGAGGAGGGGGGGTGAGGGGAGGTGCAGAGAGAGGAGGGAGTAGAGGAGCATTGGAAGCCTCTTCTCCTCCTTCCTCGCCTCTTTCTCCCCCTTCCTCCTCCCTCTCACGCCCTTTTTTTCTTTCTCCCCCTTCCCCTCTTTCTCCTCTTCTCCCATGCAGCAGAGAGTGTAAGGTCCCCTTTTCTACCAACTCAAACACCAGACACCGAAAGTTCCCCTCTCGGCAGATTCCTAGAAGCTTCACGATGTTTCTGTGATTTAAGCAGCTCAGAAGACGTGCCTCTGCAGAGAACTCTTTATCGAAATCGAGTTCCCTTACAGGGGGGATGTCTTCCGAACCTGTTTCCGGACCTGCTCCTGCTGCTTCTACTTTTGGAGAGGCTCTTGTTGCTGTGGCTGCTGCTTCTGCTGCTACTGCCATCACCATAGCTGCTCCTGCTGCTTGCTCGCTTAGGTTCGGCGACCGAGCCACATCCGCCAAAGCTGTTGCCGAGGCTCGGAACGAGGTTCGGGAGGAGAGAAGCAGCTTCACAGCGACCGGCGTCCCGTTTTCCAAAACCCCCTTGTACACCCGACTAAACCCTCCCTGCCCGATCAACCTGCCCGAGCTGAAATTTTCCGTGGCTGCCCGGATTTGCGCGACCGAGAACGAATACGACCCGTCAGAAAAGTTCCCGAGCTTTAAGGATGTTGCGAAAGGGATGCCAGAACTCTCGGGCTTTAAGTTCCTCTGTTTCATCTTCTTGGCTTTCCTCCTCGCAACTGCCTCCTCTCCCACTCCCATTCCAATCTGTGTGCCTCCTGCTTTCCCTCCCATTCCTACCCTTGCACCTTCTCCCCCTCCCACTGAATCATCTCCTCTATTAAAGAGGGTAGGTCTATGTGGAGGGGAGGAGGGAGGAGAGGAGTAATCACGTGGAGGGGAGTAAAAGCTTGTTCGTTTACTAGGTAAATGCACCGCTGCTGCCGCCGCTGCTGCTGCCGCTGCTGCTGCAGCCGAGCTTGCTTCAGCAAGCCACGAACCATCCCCTTCCTCCTCTCCCTCACTCCCTCCGCCCCAAAACGGCCCGACTGTTCTCACTCCCTTAAACGCGTTCCTCTGAGCCTTTCGGGTAACTAGCCGGTTCCACACTATCGCAACCAGAGTAACCAGCGCAAACACCCCCACGGGGATCCCGATGATTAGGAGGATGAGGAGAGAGGAGAGCGAGGAGGAGGAAGAGGAAGGAGAGGAAGAGGGGGAGGAGGAGGAAGGGGACAAGTCACCAGCGTTGGTGGTGTTGCTGGTGATGGTGGGTGAGAGGATTGGATTGGGGGATGGAGGAGGGGGCGGGCTGGGAAACGGTTGTCCTGATCGGAAGCAGAAAGCAAGATATGGGCAAAAAAAAAAAAAAAAAAAAAGTGGGCAAAAAGAAATTTGAGATTAGCTGCCTCGTATCCACGCAACTCACTTTTTTTTTTTGTGAATTCTCAAAAACTCAAGCGCTGAACCCAAAACCACCACTTCAGCACCTTTTTACTTCTTTTTTGAACGCTAAGGAACCAGCTCTTTACAACCACAGAACAGCACCCACTCCAACCAAACACAAGAGCAGCCCAGCCCATCCCAACTTACCCGGGTCTAGAATAAAAAGGATGGTAAATTCCCCAAACAGACTCGTGTCAGGCTCCACTCGCCCTGAAAGCAACACCTGTCGAATCCTCGTCACTTCAGTCCAATTCAACTGCACCGGCTTCCCGTGGGAATCTCGAGTCACTTGGGACCTCCGGGTTCTCTCACTTGTCTCATAATTCTGGGTTATCTGCGTCTTTTGATTCTCTGCTTGGGCCAACACACGCGAATGCCTCTCCTCGTCCACTGCTACTGCTGCTGCTGCTGCCCCTGCTGCTGCTGCTGCCCCTCCCCCTTCCACTGGCAAAATATACGTGGTAACGACAAGTGCGGTGGGGTCAGGATCATATGTAACAGCCCATACCTCAACCTGGGAGGGCTTTAACAGGAGGGGAGAGGCGAGCTCGCGTGCGAAAACGGGGACGTTGTGCAGGAAGGAGTCGAAGGGGGAGTGCAGGCGAGCAATCAAAACCATTGGGAGGGCGCAGGCGCAGGGAAGGGAGGGGGATGCGGCTGGGAGGAGGACGGTGGGGGATGGGCAGGGAGGGCAATCTGGGGGGAACAGGGGAAAAGACGGGGTAAAGAGGAGCAGGAGAGATTGTCAGAGGACCGGGGTAGTCTCGTCTCGTCATCAGCAGCACCTTGGGAAAGGGCTGATCCCAGCAGCACTGGGAGGGGAGAGGCTAGCTTTATCGAAATCACTTTTGAGAATTCTCAAAAGTGATTTCGATATACCATGGGAAGGGGCTGATCGCAGCAGCACTGGGAGGGGACAGGCGAGCTCGCGCCTCAATCAGAAGAAAGAGAGGAAAAAATGGAGCAGTGGAGAGAGGTGGAAATGAAGAGCACAGAGGGAAAGCAAGCAATCAGAAGGGTGAAGAGGAAAGAGCAGCAGGTGTTTTTTGAGAATTCTCAAAACACACACGCTAGAAGAGGAAAGAGCAGCAGGTAGTCACTTCTGCTGTTGGGAGGTGGGGGTGCAAAGATGAGCGGCGGTGCTGCTGGTGGCAACACAATGCTTATGCCAAGATAGGGAGAGGTGGAAAGAGAGATAGAGGACTCACTTCGGCTGTCGGGGGGTGGAGGTGGAAGGATAAGTGGCGGTGGCGGCGGTGGTGACGGCAAGACAGCGGCAGGACTTGATGGGCCGATGGTGAAATGCGGAGGAGAAAACAGAGGAGGAGGCGGAGCAAGCAGGGGGGGAGGCGGGGCGGGGGTGAGAGCACCAGGAGGGAGGGATGGGAAAAGGCTCGGAGGAGGGGCGGATTGGAGGAGAGGAGGAGAGGGAGGAGGAAGAGGAGAGGGAGGAGTGGAAGGAGGAGGGGGAGAGGGGGGAGGAGGGGGAGGTGTGAGGGTGACTGGTGCTAAGCTGCGGGGTGTGCCTGCATAGAGAGGGGGGTGGCGTTTCACGGGATGATGGAGGGGAGGGGGAGGGGGAAGGGGAAGGGGTTGGGGAAGGGGTTGGGGAAGGGAATCAGGCGGGGGAGGGGGGAGTGAAGGGGAGGGATGGGGGAGAGTGTGCGGAGGGGGGTAGAGTGAGGAAGGAGGGTGAGAGGAGGAAGGAGGTGGGGAAGGAGGAGGGGATGAGGAAGGGGAGGAGAGAGTGGGGGCAGTTGGGGGGAAACGATGGGGGTGGGGAGAGAGAAGTGGGGGAGGAGAAGGGGCAAGGGGGAAGACAGCAGAGGGGGAGGGGGAAGGGCTAGGAGCAGGTGAAAGGCTCGGAGGCTCAACAGGAGGTTCGGCAGGAGGTTCGGCGGGAGGTTCGGCGGGAGGTTCGACGGGAGGCACAGTTGGCGGCTCGGAGGGGGGAGGGGGTTGGGGGGCGCGTGGAGGGTGTCGTTTAGGGGGTCTGTGGGGGTGAGGGGAAGGCTGGGGGACATCCGGGGGAAGGGGGGAAGCAGCTGGGGGAAGCTCGGGGGGAAACTCAGGGGGAAAGGCGATTGGGGAGGGCGCTGGGGCAAGGGCAGGGGAAGGAGCAGGGGAGATGGCGGTGGGGAAATCAGGGGAAGGGGCGGGGGCAGGGGCGAGGGGAGTGGAGGGGGAAGGGGAACCTATAGGGGGAAAAGAGGGGGAAAGCTCTGGGGGAAGGGTAGGGGAAGCAGCTGGTAAGGGGGAAAGAAGTGATGGGGGAGAAGCAGCAGGGGGGAGAGAAGGGTTGGAAATAGTTTGGGGAGGGGGAGGAGGAGGATAGGAGGTGGAAGTACCAGGAATGAGCGAGATGGGAGGGGTGCGAGAGGAGGGGGGGGGGGGGGGGGCGGGAGGATGGAGGGGAAGAGGGAGAGGAGGGGGGAGGGGAGTCGGCAGTAGGAGTGAGGGAACCTAGGTCAGGGGGAGGGGGAGTGGGAGGGGGGACGTGGGGGAGAATAGGGGGAAAGGCTGGGGAGAGAGCAGGGGGAGAGGCGGGGGAAAGTGCAGGGGGGGAGGCGGGGGGAAGTGCAGGGGGGGAGGCGGGGGGAAGTGCAGGGGGAGAGGCGGGGGGAAGTGAGGGGGGAGTAGCAATATCAGGGGATGATGCAGTGGAGGGGGGAGAGGGGGCAGCGGCAGGAGGTTCGGCAGGAGATGAGGCCGCTGCAGGAGGTTCGGCAGGAGGTGCGGCGGCAGGAGGTTCGGGAGGTGGTGCGACAGGAGGTTCGGCAAAAGGAGGTTGAGCTGTTGCTTGGCCTGCTATAGCAGCATTTCTTGCCGGCCCACTCAGCCTCACATGCAGAGCCACCCGCCTCTGGCCTTCCTCCCCCAAGAGTGTTTTGAGGCGACTCAGAACATGCCTCTGGCCTTGCTGCCCCCCCAGCAGCGCGGCCCTCCTCTGGCTGTGCTGCTGTTGATGTTCCCGCCTTCGTCCCCCAGGACTCCCTGTGTTGCTTGAGAAACCTCTGCCCCATGTCTGGCAATAAGGAGGAAGGGGGAGGGAGGGCAGAGAGCAGGGGGTAGCATGCTTAAGGGTCGGCTTGAAAACCGTCTGCTGTCCTCTTTGTTCATCAGGACTCCCTGTGCTGCTTGACTTGACAGAACCTGGCAATAAGGAGAAATGGGAAATGAGGGGAGAGAATAGTAGCATTTTTTTTTTTTAGACGTCTCATCAGATTAGAGAGGTTCATTCTTAAGGAGAAATGGGGAAGGAGGGCAGAGAGAGGTAGCATGTGTATGAGTCAGCTCCGTGTGGTATGGATGAAGCTATGCGAAAGAAAGATTGAGGACACGAGACAGGGCACTTACCAGAGTGGTTCGGTTGATGAGCCGCAGTGGTCGAACCGCAACAACTGAGTTTTGAGCACCTCAGAATGAGATGCGTTATGGCACCCCTCGAAACCTTCAGAATCCTCAAAGCGCGTACCAGAGTGGATCGGTTGATGAGCCACAGTGGTCGACCCGCAACCGCACACGCACCCCACAACCAGGTGTGCTGTGAGTTTATGCATGACATTTGTAGGTTTCTCAACACGCGTACCAGAATGGTTCGGTTGATGAGCCACAGTGATTGAGCCGCAACCGCCCTGGCAGAAGCTCCTCCAGCCCTTTGCACACGCACACCCAACTCAGGTGTGCAGTGAGTTCACATACCAGAAATTATGTAGTAGTTTCCACAGGACACGTACGAGTGTGGTTCGGTTGATGAGCCACAGTGGTCGACCCGCAACCGCCCTGGCAACAGCTCTTCCCACGTTGTGCCGCGCCTCAAAGATTGCAACCGCGCTTGCGCCAGCTTCTCCCCCTTTTTGACGCACCTCGAAACTCACACCACCCCTTGCTACAATTTCCTGCTCCTGCCTGTTGATCCGCCTCAAATCTCACCCCACCCCTCATACCAGCTCCTGCCATTCCCCCACCATTCCACCCACCTCCCCTCTCACTCCCCCTCCTCTCCCTTCCATTACTCACACCTCGCCCTTCTTTCCCATCCCCTGACTTCGCACCCCCTTGCTCCAGCGTTCTTCCCTCCACCCCCCCTCCACTTCTCATCCCCCCTCTCTCCTTGCTCGCTCCTTCTGCTCCCATCCCCTCTCTCTCCTCGCTCTCTCCTTCATTTTTCGTCGCCCCTCTCTCCTCGCCATCTCCTTCACTTCTCAACCCCTCTCTCTCCCTGCTGCAACTGACGCACAGTAGCAGCAATTCGCCTCTGCCTGCTGTTTCCCCTTCCTGCAATGACTTGTGGGTCGAATCCAATTTCTCCTTGTTCCTACTGAGACACAAAACCTGTGCTGCTCCTCCCCCATCCATGCTTTCCCATTCTTGCCCTTTCTCCTCTGCTTCCTGAAAAGGTTCCCTCCTCAATTCCCGCTCCTGTTGCTGCTGCTGCTCCTGCTGCTGCTGTCCCTGCCCCTCCTGCTGCTGCTGCTGCCTCTGCCCCTCATTCTGCTGTGTCTCTCCCGCTCTCTCACCTTCTCCCCTCCCCACACCACCCCCCTCGCTCTCGCTTCCCTCTTCTCTCATCTTTCCTTCAATCGCCTCATCACTTCTAGCCGTTTCTGACCTCATAAGGTTCCCACACGCCAGGCTCAAACGCTCTTGGGTTACATTGAAAAACCACTCCTGCTCTCGTGGGCACATTTTGAATATTCTGTAAATACGCCCTTGGGTTACATTCAACAACCACTCCTGCTGCTCTGGTAGGCATAGGCGGATACTGGACAGGTGGAACTGGGGTGGGTCAGTGGGTGGAGGGCTAAAATCCGGTGAGTCGGCTGCCCTGCAGGTGTGTAGCAGGAGAGAGTGGGCACACTCTGAAGAGTGCGGCTGGAGTGGTTCAGTGGGTGGTGGGCTGATATCAGATGGGTCGAATGCGGTGCAGGAGAGGAGGAGAGGGTGGGAACACTCGGTTTGGTGCAGGTGGTTTGGGTGTGTGGGTTGGATGCTGAAATCGGATGGGTCGAATGCAGTGCACGTGTGCAGCAGGAGAGAGTGGGGGCACTGTGATGGGAGCAGCTGGGGCGGGTCCGTGGGTGTGGGTGGTGGGCCCTCATTGTGAAGCGCAGGAGAAGTGCTGTTTACCACACAGTAGCAGCATCGGCACTGGAGGTCTGAGTGGGAAAAAAATAAGGGACATGGGGGAGAGGGGGAGAATGTGAGCAGCATGAGAGGGTGCGTGCACTGAGATGGGAGCAGCTGGGGCGGGTCCGTGGGTGTGGGTGGTGGGCCCTCATTGTGAAGCGCAGGAGAAGTGCTGTTTACCACACAGTAGCAGCATCGGCACTGGAGGTCTGAGTGGGAAAAAAATAAGGGACATGGGGGAGAGGGGGAGAATGTGAGCAGCATGAGAGGGTGCGTGCACTGAGATGGGAGCAGCTGGGGCGGGTCCGTGGGTGTGGGTGGTGGGCCCTCATTGTGAAGCGCAGGAGAAGTGCTGTTTACCACACAGTAGCAGCATCGGCACTGGAGGTCTGAGTGGGAAAAAAATAAGGGACATGGGGGAGAGGGGGAGAATGTGAGCAGCATGAGAGGGTGCGTGCACTGAGATGGGAGCAGCTGGGGCGGGTCCGTGGGTGTGGGTGGTGGGCCCTCATTGTGAAGCGCAGGAGAAGTGCTGTTTACCACACAGTAGCAGCATCGGCACTGGAGGTCTGAGTGGGAAAAAAATAAGGGACATGGGGGAGAGGGGGAGAATGTGAGCAGCATGAGAGGGTGCGTGCACTGAGATGGGAGCAGCTGGGGCGGGTCCGTGGGTGTGGGTGGTGGGCCCTCATTGTGAAGCGCAGGAGAAGTGCTGTTTACCACACAGTAGCAGCATCGGCACTGGAGGTCTGAGTGGGAAAAAAATAAGGGACATGGGGGAGAGGGGGAGAATGTGAGCAGCATGAGAGGGTGCGTGCACTGAGATGGGAGCAGCTGGGGCGGGTCCGTGGGTGTGGGTGGTGGGCCCTCATTGTGAAGCGCAGGAGAAGTGCTGTTTACCACACAGTAGCAGCATCGGCACTGGAGGTCTGAGTGGGAAAAAAATAAGGGACATGGGGGAGAGGGGGAGAATGTGAGCAGCATGAGAGGGTGCGTGCACTGAGATGGGAGCAGCTGGGGCGGGTCCGTGGGTGTGGGTGGTGGGCCCTCATTGTGAAGCGCAGGAGAGACGCTGGTGGTGACCACACAGTAGCAGCACCGGCACTGGAGGTCTGAGTGGGTAGGCGGAGGGGGAGAAGGGGGAAACGAAGGGGGGAGTGGGGGGAGAAGGCGGAAATGGGAGGAACGGTTGGAAGAAGCGCGTGTGCAAGCAGCGACAGGGCATATCGTCAGGAAGAGCCACCAGAAAGTGTAACATAGACGTGTTTTGAGACGTCTCAAAAGAAGCGCGTGTGCAAGCAGCGACAGGGCATATCGTCAGGAAGAGCCACCAGAAAGTGTAACATAGACGTGTTTTGAGACGTCTCAAAAGAAGCGCGTGTGCAAGCAGCGACAGGGCATATCGTCAGGAAGAGCCGCCGAAAAAGTGCAACAGTAGTCGCCCTCTTCACGTTCCCCAACCCACCGTCTATATTCATGTGACTTTTGAGAAATTCTCAAAAGCAAGCAGCGACAAGGCGGATCAACGGGACGAGCCGCCGGAAAGTGCAACGGTAGTCGCCTTCTTCACGTTCTCCAACCCACCCTCTATATCCCCCTTCCCCCCTCCCCTTTTCCCCCCCCTTCCCCCCTCCCCTTTCCCCCCCCCCCCTTCCCCCCTCCCCTTTCTCCCCCCCTTCCCCACTCCCCTTCCCCCCCCCCTGCCCTCCTCCCCTTCCCCCCTCCCCTTTCCCCCCCCCTCCTCCCCTCCCCCCCTCTCTCCGCCTCAACACGTACCCGCTCCGACAACGCCACGTATGCAAGCGGCGACGAGAAAGATCGCCAGGACGAGCCGCCGGAGCGGCGTCGCGAGCGCCGCGAGCTGCGGCGGCGATCCGTTCAGACGCGACGACGCGGAGCGCAACATGCAGTAATCACGCCGCGGCTCGTGACGCGTCATAGCAGCGAACTCAACGGTCACCGTTAGAGGCGACTCACTCCGAAGCGTGATAGCGGCTGCTCTCTAGTCGTCATCGCACACGTGTCACTTGAAAGCCGTCTCGAATGTTGTCGCGGTTCTAACGTATTACCACTGTCCAATACCGGACCTCTGAGTCTACTCCAAACTCTCGTCGTCATTCACAGCTGTCCCAGTCATTCAAAGTCGCCTCGCGCCGTGTCACAGCCTTCTTGCGACTATCGCACGCGTTCTAACACGAACTCGCTCCGTTATAGACTGATTCGACATTTCGATGGTAACAATCACATGCGAATGCGGGCCTTGTCGGAGCTTCGCTAGCATTGTCGCGGTCGAGGGGAGATTCCGTGGTAGCATTGAACTGTGTCGCCGTTCGTCGTTCGTCGCTCGTCGTGCGTCATGCGTCGTGCGTCATACGTCGTGCGTCGTTCGTCGTTCGTTGTGCGACGTGCGACGTGCGCTCGACGTCGAGGATCGACGTTCTACCACAGGCCTGTGCGAGCCCACGTCGCTCTATCAGTCCGCAAATATGCTCCTATCTGTCAAGCTCGCGAATGGCTCTATATACACACCATGGCTTCAAGGCGGCGCCGACACATTCGTCAAGCACACTTTCTAGGATATGCTTGGTGCCTTTCTCTGTTTGATGTCGACTATCGTATCAACGCAACGGAACCATGGCGGTCAGGAGGACGGATAGAACGGCACGTGCGATCGGAGAGACTGACTGTGAGCGTCATCTGTGTCCTCGCATCCTCACATATGACACATCCGTTTCAACTCGCATCGCATCCTTCCCAAGCCTTGGGCCGTCATTGTAAACAGCAGTACCACTAATAGCTCTAAGGACAAAGGAAGTCCTACTAGAAAAGAGCTCGTCACAAAACTGAATGTGAACACCACGTTTCAGTTCCAGCTTCCATGTAAGGATTTACAAATCCTTACTGAGGCGCTCGATAGCGAGGCCATCCCGAGGGCCACGCGACCAACTGGTTCGGCCTACAATTTCGCATCCCAACCTCACCGAGCCGCCTCCGCACCAATCGCGACACTTCGCGAGCCAACCCTACCACACCATCCCCGCCTAGCTAGGTTTTCCCCTATTTAGGCCTCGCTACTTCATTGTTCAGGCAT